TGGCTCCGGGCATCCAAAATGTGGCCCGGGAATGGAATTCTGGGAACTCGAAGAGCACGAAGTGTGTGACTGTTGCATCCGGCCCTCCAGAATGTGGCCCGGGAATGGCGTTCTGGGAACTCGAAGAGCACGAAGTGTGTGACTGTTGCATCCGGCCCTCCAGAATGTGGCCCGGGAATGGCGTTCTGGGATCTCGAAGAGCACGAAGTGTGTGACTGTTGCATCCGGGTATTGAGAATGTGGCCTGGGAATGGAGTTCTGGGAAGTCGAAGAGCACGAAGTGTGTGACTGTTGGTGAAAAACGAGCCCGGCACCTTGCCGCCCGGCAACTCCCCAACACCTGCCCGGACCCCCCTGTGGAGTGATCTGCTGCTCTCTTTTGATCCCATTATCCCGGCAAAGCAACCTAACAGCGATGTGTAGAAGCATATCTGAAAGCATTCCCCTTAAGATTCAGATGAAAATCCAGTTGTCGAATTCTGCTGTTCTCGCAGTCGTAGTCGCATTCGCGATGACAGTCGCAGCGGCAACGGCAGTCGCAGTCACAGCCTCAGCCTCAGCCTGCCTCCTCCTCCTCCTCCTTTCTCCTGCTCCTCCTCCTCCTCCTCCTCCTCCTCCTCCTCCTCCTCTTCTCCTGCTCGTCCTCGTTCTCGTCCTCCTCGTCTTGCTCGTCCTCCTCCTCCTGGTGCTCTCTCCTCCTCCTCCTCCTCCTCCTCCTCCTCCTCCTCCTCCTCCTGGTGGTCCTCGTTCTCCTCCTCCTGGTGCTCTCCCCCCCCCTCCTCCTCCTCGTCCTCCTCCTCCTCCTCCTCCTCCTCGTCCTCCTCCTCCTCTTCCTCCTCCTCCTCCTCCTCCTCCTCCTCCTCCTGGTAGTCCTCCCCCTCCCCTCCTCCTCCTCCTCCTCCTCCTCTTCCTGGTCGTCCTCGTTCTCGTCCTCCTCGTCTTGCTCGTCCTCCTCCTCCTGGTGTTTCTCTCCTCCTCCTCCTCCTCCTCCTCCTCCTCCTCCTCCTCCTGGTGGTCCTCGTTCTCCTCCTCCTGGTACTCTCCCCCCCCTCCTCCTCCTCCTCCTCGTCCCTCGTCCTCCTCTCCTCCTCCTCCTCTTCCTCCTTCCTCCTCCTCCTCTCTTCCTCCTCCTCCTCCTGGTACTCCTCCCCTCCCCTCCTCCTCCTCCTCCTCCTCCTCCTCTTCGGTCGTCCTCCTCCTCCTGGTCGTCCTCCTCCTCCTGCTCGTCCTCCTCCTCCTCCTGCTCGTCCTTCTTCTCCTGCTCCTCCTGCTCCTCGTCCTGCTCCTGCTCGTCCTCGTCCTCCTGGTCTTGCTCGTCCTCCTCCTCGTCGTGCTCTTGCCCCTGCTGAAAATGTGGCCCAGGAATGGGAGTTCTGGGAAGTCGAAGAGCACGAAGTTGCCTACAGTTGGCTACGGGCATTCAAAATGTGGCCCGGGAATGGAGTTCTGGGAACTCGAAGAGCACGAAGTGGCCTACAGTTGGCTCCGGGCATTCAAAATGTGGCCCGGGAATGGAGTTCTGGGAAATAGAAAAGCACGAAGTGGCCTACAGTTGGCTCCGGGCATCAAAATGTGGCCCGGGAATGGAGTTCTGGGAACTCGAAGAGCACGAAGTGTGTGACTGTTGCATCCGGCCCTCCAGAATGTGGCCCGGGAATGGTTTCTGGGAACTCGAAGAGCACGAAGTGTGTGACTGTTGCATCCGGTTATTCTAAATGTGGCCCGGGAATGGCGTTCTGGGATCTCGAAGAGCACGAAGTGTGTGACTGTTGCATCCGGGTATTGAGAATGTGGCCTGGGAATGGAGTTCTGGGAAGTCGAAGAGCACGAAGTGTGTGACTGTTGGTGAAAAACGAGCCCGGCACCTGCCGCCCGGCAACTCCCAACACCTGCCCGGACCCCCCTGTGGAGTGATCTGCTGCTCTCTTTTGATCCCACTAGAAACCTATCAGTCTTCGCTGTTAGGTAACTAGAAACCTATCAGTCTTCGCTGTTAGGTAAAATGCCTCCCAGGCGCCCTCGAACGGCTTCTGAAAAGACCCCAAGAAGCCTCCCAGAGAAGCATCTTGACGACGACCCTGTTTGGCCCCAAGAGCAACACAAGATGCCAACGAGAGGCTTCCTCCTCCGCCCCTTCCTCTTCCTCCTCCTCCTCCTACTTATCTTCATCCTCCTCATCTCCTTCTCATCCTCTCCTCCTCCTCCCCTCCCCTTCCCCATCCTCATCTTCTTCCTCCTCGGCGGCGCCACAATGGCCCCGGGCCCACGGCGAAGCAGTAGCGATCATGCAACATGGGCCGGCGGAGTGAGCGAAGCGATTGAATAATCACGTAAGGTTGTGGGGCGGGGGGACGAAGGGGAAACATAACCAGGCCTCCACACACCCACACACCATACCACCTCCACAAAGAAACGCACAAACAAGAGACAGCCCCGGCTGCAAGGGCGTAAAGGCGGCTTTGACCTGCCCCACGAGGACACGGGCCTGGTCGGAAAAACTATAAGCCCGCCAGCCGCACCCGCGGATAACCATCCGAGGATCGCCGCCGGCTCGATCAAAACAGCCACCCGGCGACACACGACCGAGTGGAACACATCTACCATGAGAGGGGATGCGTGAAGGACAACGGCAAAAACAAACTTTCCCCATTGATAAATGTGTTATCGAAAATTCATTGCTTTCCCCTCCACGAACTCACCCATCACGTGCGGCATCGCTCTGCAACACCACCTAAGCCGAAACCGAACAAAGTGGCGCCAAGAAAATGGCCGCACCAGCGGAGGCGCAAGGCGCTTACTTGGTGCATTCCTACAAACCGACCCCGCTGGTGCCACCCGAGCACACGACAATGAGGCACAGAAACAACTTAAGGCGTCGCACGGTGAATCACACATATTCGGACGTTTTTTTACTTTATTTTTTCTTTTTCCAAAATCCCATTAAGGAGCGCAAATCCGTGTAGACACACACACACACACACGCGCACACCGAGTTTTACCCGAGGGGAAACTTTGGGCCACCATTTTTTTATATAAAAAAACGCTCGCTGCAGCACGCGCAACGTGCGGCTCAAAACCCGACGCACGTTGGCTAAACGAGTCGCCGGTCTGCACCCCTGGATCCACTGCTGGCACCGAAACCCCAGCCGGAGCCGAAACCGCCACGGAGGAAAGAGCCGAAACCCCAACCGCCTCCGAGACGTGATGATCCCAGGGTGGGTGTGCACTCCCGCCCTCAAAAAAACCTTATGGCACAGACGATGGCCGACCCGAGCATAATCAAGAGGACACAAACACAGCAGCAGTGACCATGCCCTTTCAATTCAGCACAGAAGGGGGCACCCCGAATGGGGTACGTGTGAAGCGCGTCCATTGTGCAGTAAACACATCTCCGACAGACACCCATCCCCGGCGGGGGAGTGAACCGCAGCGAAAAATGTGAACCTCAGGGGAGGACGAGGAACGGATGGGAAAGATAGGACGGAGAGGAGAAAAACGGAACGAGGGAGAAGGAAGGGCACAGTCCCACCACAATCTCCCCCCCGCACTCTGGGGAGGCACAAGCCGGGGATTAAGAAGACGCGTCTCCGACGAGCGGCCACGAGGAGGCTGTGCAGCTTGCTCGTCGAAGATTCGTTCGGCCTCAGCAAGCTCCACCATGTTGTCGCTGATCTTGCGGAGCACGTCGTCTCGGTACCCGGTGGCACGCTGCAGCTGCTTGGCCAACTTGTCCTGGCACTTCTGCACTATTGAAGTCGGCGATTGCCTGCTGGCGCCTGTCCCGTGGAGAGTACCACTGGTCCAGCTGGTCCTAGTGGGAGGGCATCCAGACATGCGGCTGCGATCTCATCCATTCTAGCTTGGTCGCCGTTCTTTTTCGTCTGGAGGTACTCCTGCTTGAGGAGATCGACCATGGCGCTCCGGGTCGTGTTCTGCTTATCGCTCTCAGCACTGTCATGGAGCATGGTTGGCTTCCATTCGTGTCCACACGCCTTATAGTTTGTCCAACCAGGCTTGCCAGCGCGATTGCAATCTACCCAGTTACCGCTGCCCGTCGGGCATGTCGTGCACACCATGTACTGCGTAGCCTTCTCGCCCTTGGTGTTAGGAGCTCTGGCTCCGCGGCTGGCTGGGCGCGATGTCTGCCGCCACGGCGGCGGCCACGTCTCTTCCTCATTCCAGCCTCGGCCTCTGACCATGTAGAGTTTGGGCCGCACGGACTTCAGCAGCGGCACGTATTGGCCGCCCCCCTCAGGCCGCGGGCCAACGTGCAGTGGGCGCCCCAGCGCCCGCCACCGCCGACGGTTCGCACCGTGCCGCCTCAGCCGCGCGCGCGTGGCAGGCCACACTGCAAGCCGAAATGGCTTGAAGGAGGAGGAGGAGGAGGAGGAGGAGGAGGAGGAGGAGGAGGAGGAGGAGGAGGAGGAGGAGTGGGAGGAGGAGGGGGACAGCCTCTTCGAGCTTCGACCCTGGAGCCTCGATCCTCGGGGGGAACTGGCGGCCCCCCTCGTGGTGGCCCTCCCTTGTGCTTCCCCCAGGCCCACTCGGCGGCCGAGCGGTGTCAGAAAGGGCCCTGAGTGTGAGAGTGTGTGAATGCGTGTGGTATGTATGTCTACGTGTATGTGTGCATGCATGCATGCATGTATGCATGTATGTATGCATGCATGCATGCATGTATGTATGTATTTGCGTGTATGTGTGTGTGTATGTGTGTGCGAGCGTGTGTGTGTGTGTGTGTTTGTTTGTGTGTGCTCGTGCGTTGTGTGTGCTCGTGCGTGCGTGCGTGCGCGCGCGCGCGTGTGTGTGTGTGTGTGTGTGTGTGTGTGTGTGTGTTTGTGTGTTCGTGCGTGCGTGCGTGCGTGCGTGCGTGCGTGCGTGCGTGCGTGCGTGCGTGCGTGTGTGTGTGTGTGTGTGCGAATGTGTGTGTATGTGTGTTTGTCAGTGTCTGGGTGATTGTGTGTGCGTGTGGGAAAAGAGGGGGAGCCGCCCGGCCAAGCCCGGCCTCACGGGCCAGCTGCGCCAGCGCCTCCACCGTCGAGACCTGAGGCGCGCCGTGCAGCAGCCCGCGGCGTGCTCCTCCTCCTCCTCCTGCTGCTGCTGCTTGTGCTCCTCCTCCTCCTCCTTCTCCTTCTTCTTTTTCTTCTTCTCCTCCTCCTCCTCTTCTTCTCCTCTTCTCTCCTCTCTCCTCCCTACAATTACACAATATGAACACTACTCTCCTCTCTCCCCTGACTCTGTCCGGAAAATCTCCCGTCGACTCCGCGTATTTTGTTACCCATCAGATTTCAGTACTTGGTTCTTCCTATGTGTTGTTTTCAATCCGGTCACTTTCGGTTCTTCCAAAATGGTGCTCCCGCCGCAGCGCCGCCCTCATTTTCCACGCTTCGGTCATTCAAGATCGTGCTCCCGCTTCACCGCTGGCCTTGTTCCCGCGCCTCCAGTGGTTCCAAATCGTGTTACCTCAGCAGCACTGGCGTGATCGGTCCTTCCAACTCGCGCTGTCGCTGAAGCGCTGGCCTCGTTCCAATGCTTCGGTCCTTCCGAAGCCTGCTCCCGCTGCAGCGGTGGCCTCATTCCCGTTTTCGGTCCTGGCCTCGTTCCCGCGCTCCAGTCCTTCTACATCGTGCTCCCGCTGCAGCACTGGTCTCATTTCTGTTGGTGCACCGCTGTTCTATGCCATGCTTTGCGTTGCTATGCTTTGTGATACAATGCTTCACTACGCAGTGCCACGCCGTGCTATGACATGCTATGCTCTGTCGTACTCTTCTAAGCCGTTCTTTTCCATCGATCGCGTACCCTCTTGGGATCACTGCCCTGCTCGTCGACATCCGACTGTGCGAATAGACAGGTAATCTACGCCATGGTTCGGGATGGGAGGGAGGGGTAGGACGTCACATTTGACGCTAGCGCACCAACCTCCCCTTTTCCTCTCTCCTCCCTCATCTCCTCTCCTCTCCTCTCCTCTCCTCTCCTCTCCTCTCCTCTCCTCTCCACTCTTCTCCTCTCCTGTCCTAGTCCTCTTCCTCCTTCTCCCCTTCCTCAACTACTCGCCATCAATGCTACTCTCCTGTCTGCCCAGAAATTGTCCAGGAGATCTCTTGCCTCCATCCGTGTCTTTGGTTGTTTTCGGTGTTTCAAACATGGTAATCTCGCTGCAGCGTGGGCCTCATTTTCGGATCGGCGCTGTGATCCCGTCGTTTAGAATGGCGCTCTCGTCCGAGCGTGGGTCACTTTTCTCTGGATCCAACAGGTCTCGCAGGCCCCACAAGTCTCGCAGGCCCCACAGGTCCCAGCCCAGCCAGAACCCACAAGTGTCGCAAGTCGTCCGACAGGTCTGCAAGATGTCGCAGGTCTCACAGGTCCCGCAAGCGTCGCAAGTCTCGCAGGTCCCACTGCTACCACAGGTCCCGCAAGTCCCACAGGTCTCATAGATGTCGCATGCCCCACAGGTCCCACAAACGGTCCCACAAAGGTCCCTCAGGTCCCACAAGTCTCACAAGTCTCGCAGTTTGTACAGGTCTCACAAGTCCCATAGCTCCCGCAGGTCCCACAAGTCCCATATGTGTCGCAGGTCTCGCAGTCCCCACAGCCCACAGAGGTCCCGCAAATCCCAACCAGATCCCACAGCTCCCACAGGTCCCACAAGTCCCACATGCCCCACACGTCCCACCAGTCCCGCAGGTCCCACATATCCGCAGTTGCCACAGGCCCCACACGTCCCACACGTCCTACAGGCGGTAGAAGTCCCACAGGTTCCGCAGGTCCCGCAGTGCCCACCTGCCCCACAGGTGGACACTGTGGGACTGGACTTCCGTGCTGCATGTGACACACGTCCGCGGATAGAGAAACATTCAGCGCAATGGCAGGGAAGGGATTGCAGAAGGAGGTTGGATGTCAGATGTGAGGCGAGCGCACCTAGCTTGTCCTCCTCCTCCTCCTCCTCCTCCTCTCTCCTTTCTCATGTTCCTCCTCCTTCTCCTCTTTCCTTCTCTTCTCTTCCTCTCTCCTTCCTCCTCCTCCTCGTCCTCCTCCACCTCCTTCTCTTCTCCTCATCTCCCCTCTTCCCTCTCCTCCCTTCTCCTCATCTCCCTCTCCTCCCCTCCTTCTCCTCCTCCCTCCTCTCCTGATAACTAACTTCTTCCTGTCGCACCCCGAGGCCGACTTTTAGGGCGGGCCGGGCGTTTTGCTTGAGACTTCCTCACCATTCATGACACTGTGTCTTCACAGTTGACAGCACTTTCACAGATGGAGGGCGGGCCGTTTTCAAAATGTGGCTCTCGCTTTAGCACCGCGCATATTCGTTTTCAAACATTGCAAGAGCTTCACGGGTTGAGGGCAGGTCGTTTTCAAAATGTGGCTCTCGCCTTAGCGCCGCGCACATTCGTTTTCAAACGTTTCAAGCGTTTCACGGATCGAGAGCGGGTGGTTTTCAACATGTGGACGGATTCGCGATTTTGAGGGCGCAGCGGTTACGATGATTCGCGGAGTTGAGGTCCCAGGAGTGGCGTTCTGGTACGATTCAGGATCGTCAAGACGCAACAGTCAGGCTAATCCGTGGCGCTGGAATGCAGAGAATACTGCTTTGGCATGCTTCAGGGTCTTCAAGCAGTTGTCTTCCAACGAGGCAGGTCCCTCTGAGGACATGAGCCGCTGTAGGGGCCTATGAAGAGGGAGCTCGGGGGTAGGGTTTGTTCCAACGTCGTTGGTGACTCTTGGGTTTACACTTGTCCTCCTCCTCCTCCTCCTCGTCCTCCAGCTCCTCCTTCTCCTCCTCCTCCTACTCCTCCTCCTTTTCCCTCCCTCCCTCCCTCCCTCCCTCCCTCCTCCTCTCTCCTACTCTCGCCTCTCCTCCTGGCCCTCCTGGACCTCCTCCTCATCCTCCTCCTGACGCTGACGCTGCTGGCATGGGTTCCCTCCTCCGCCTCCCTCCTCCTCTTCCTCCTCCTCGCCGCCGCCGCCGCCGTCGTCGTCGTCATCGTCGTCGTCGTCGTCGTCGTCGTCGTCGTCGTCATCGCCGCCGTCGTCGTCGTCGTCGTCGTCGACGTCGATTTCGTCGATTTCGTCGTCGTTGTCGTCGTCGTCGTCGTCGTCCCCCGTTTCTTTATCCCTTGGCTGATGCACGACCTGCTGCTGGCTTCAACTGTGTGCCTGTGATGCACTTCGAAACTCCCTCGGGCCAACTCGGCCGAGTCTATGTCTATTTTCCTCTCGTGCAGGGCGTCACGAGGGAGGACCAACGACGTGCGCAGTCGCCTCAGTCTTGGGCCCCAAGAGCCCTGCGGATGAATCTGGCTAGAGAAGTTGAAGGGCATTGACAAGGGGCGGGAGGGATAGGCAAAGGGTGGAATGCATCGACCTCGAGTGGCCGATACATCGCCCATGCATCGTCGATGCTGACCGCCCCATGTATCATCTATATATCGCCGATGCATCGCCCTGATGCCTTGTCGATGTAGCAACCATTCGAGATCGATGCCTCCCCCCCTTTGCCTATCCTCCCCTATCGCCGCCCCCAAGAAGGGCCGCATACAATCGGAATGTCGGGGGAGGGGGGTAGCCGTCGAAGCGAGGCCCCCCTCTCCCCTTGGCCTCCAGGCTTTCCAGGACCCCGCAGTGATGCAGTAACGCAGCCTATGACCCCCGGGAGGAGAGGCGAAAGGAAGCAACCACAACCACATCAACGACGCACCGTGCAATCGTCAGTACACCAAAGTTTGGTACTGGTCGTGGTCGATGTGGGCGTCCCAGATCGCCGAACCGACCACAATCACAACTGAAGCGATCATGTCGATGTCGGTGGGTTCTCCTCCGAGGGGTCCTGCAGACAAATCCATTCAGTTGTGGTTATGGTTCTTTGTTGTGCCCGGAGGGAGGGAGGGAGGGAGGGGAGGAGGAGCCATCAGAGGTCGGCCTGTAGGGTTTTCGCGGGGACGCTCTGGCGAAGGGCCCTTGGGGGCCAGACCCCCGACGTTGACTGTTTCATGACGTGGCTCACCAAAGGTCTGGACCCCTTCCCGGGGACCAATTTTTCATCCTGAATCGTTTTGACTTTCCTGAGGCCCGGTGAAGGCCCCTCGAGGCCGAAAAGGGCCAACCGCCCGTCGTGATACCGCACAACGCGAGGGCCCCTGGAGTCAGGAGGCAACTACTGGGAGGTCTTCCTCGGAAGGATTAAGGAGAATTGAGCCCCATTGGGGGGCTACTACGCAAGATTAGGCCGCGGATTAAGCGGGATTAAACCGGAATAAGCCAGATTACGCAGGATTGAGCGGGATTCAGACGGATGTCGGACCAGGGCAACATCAGAATCATACCTCCCATGACTTGAGGGGCCGGTCGGAACGAGCTTGGGAAGCCACCAGCCTGGACCCCCACAGGTAACCCTCGGAGGGCGCCGGCTCTCCGGGCAGGCTCCGCACGGCCAGGCTTCCGTGGGAGGAGGAGTGCCGCGCTTCGCTTCCGGGGCAACCTTGCACCTCCGACGCCGCACGCTTCTGCTGCACACGCAAGAATCAGAACGCGAGCCGCCCATGAGGAGCTCTCCCGGCCCCGTTCCGAGGACCGACTTCTCGCGGCGTCGCGCCTTTTGCTTGTCTTTGCTGTTTTGTGTGTGTGTCCGCGCAGCGCTTGCACTCAGGGGTTCCTGCATGTTCTCCCTAAGGAATTGGCTGGGCACGGCGGGGATGCTCCACGTTGCCGCCCGATTGCCGCCTCGTTGCCGCCTCGTGCCCTGGGTGGTCCGACGAGGTTTCACCACGCCGCCGCCACAATGCCGCCTCGTGCGCTGGGTGGGTCCGGCGAGGTTTCGCCACGTTGCCGCCCGTTGCCGCCTCCTTGCGACCTCTTTGTCGCCTCGTCATCCGCCTCGTGCGCTGGGCGGGTCCGGCGAGGTTTCGCCCGGTTGCCTCCCGTTGCCGCCTCGCTGCCGCCACGTGCGCTGGGTGGGTCCGGCGAGGTTTCGCCACGTTGCCGCCCGTTCCCGCTTCGTTGCCGCCTCTAGCTTGCACCACGCATACTGCACCGCATAGCTTACACCACATAGCTTGCACCACACAGCGCACACATCCACAGTGCAACGACTTCCTGTTTCGGGTCCACCCTGGCTAACATCTGCTTTTTGTAGGTTTTATCTGCTGCTAGCGGGCCACGTGGCCCGCCAACACCCGATGTCGCCGAGATTGTGGAGCGACAGCGCCCTTGCAGCTGGCTCGGGGCCACGAGAGAGCGGGGATCAAGAGCATTGGCCCCCTTGCCGAAGGCCCAGGGCCCAACGGAGGTGGCTGAAGCGACGAGCACGCCGAGGTGGAGAACCCAAGCATGGAGAACACGAGGGCGCCCTTCTCAGGCCCAGGTTTTGGAAGGGGAACGACACGGGGGGGAATCGGCGATACGTCGCCGATGGGTCGGCGATGGGCCCCCGATGGCGAAGCGCCGTGCGTTCCTGGGCGCGGCGGGCCATCGGGCCCCGATCGGTGAGGCAGGGGCGATTGGGGGTCGATGCGCCGCCCCCCCCTCCCCCACCCTGAGCCCATCCCTGCCAAATGACTCGGTCGCGAGTTCATGTGGGGGATGCATGGGCGGGGAGCAAGGTGCCCTTTTTGGGGGCCCTACACAGAGGCCTCCTAGATGGGGTCCGAGAAGATGGGGTCGGAGGATCGCGGTGCATCTCTGATGCATCGGCCATGCATCAGCGATGCATTGGCGATGCACCGGCGACGTCGGCGATGCATCGGCGCCGTCGGCGTGGAGGAAATCGAGCTCCGCATCGAGCCGCATCGGCGATGCATCGGCGATGCGACGCAATCCTCCAACCCCATCTACGCGGACCCCATCTAGGAGGCCTAAACTAAAGGCCCCCTCTTGGGCCCTGAAGGGCCCCTTTAAGGGCCTGAAAGGGCTCATGTCTGCAGCCCTCGCTGCCCCCATTTCTCGCCCCCCCATTGCGCGTCCTCCGAATGATCCTCGTCGTCTGGTTTCCAAGTCATCTCTCAGGTCTCTGGCGGGCATTCGGGACGATCCGGGCAGCCCAAGACGCCCCTCCGCGAAACGCAGCTGCTGGAAAGGACCCCGGGAAACTGCAGACGAATTACGAGAACGGGCGAAAGCCTCGAACCTCGAACCAGAAAGAAGGCAAGGGCTGCTCGATGTATCCCCCGCCCCCCTATGAGCACATCCCCACCTGATGTTGCCCCTGAAGGCTGCTCCGAACCCTCGTGCAAGCTGCGGTGCCTTTTCCGCGACGTCAGAGATCGCCGACACCGACTCCTCCGACCTGAACTAAATCAAGATGACCCGAATTCGAATCGGAAAATCGAATCGGCCATCGAAATATGTAGAGTCGGCACGAGCAGATCGGAAAGCATCGGATTGACGTCCGCTGGCCCGTGCCGAGGCATACACGAGGAAATCCAAACCGAAGTCGGACTCCTCCTCAATCCTCGAAGCCCGATCCTCTTTGATGCTCCTCTATCCTTCTCGATCCTCGATCCTTCTTGGATCCCTCCTGGCTCCTCGATCCCCCTCGGTCCTTCTTCGATCCCCAGAACCCCCCGACGTCATGATTCTTCACGACATATACTCCCAGAAGTTTGGACCCCATCCTGGGGACAGGGTTTTCATCTTCGGTAGTTTTGTTGACGGTCTGGAGGCCCCGCAAGGATCGTGAAACACGACCCGTCTATTTTTCGCGACGCGAGGGGGTCTGGGTCCGCGACCTTCCTTGGTCCTCGGTCCTCGACCCTTCCTCGATCCCGACGTCGTGATTTTTCATGACGCGGACCATCAGAGGTCTGGACCCCAGGTCTCGTGGGACCCGACGTCGCAACAAAAATTGAGACATGGTGACAAAACAACACTTTGAGCAGGGACCGACCGTCCCAGCATTCCTATAGTCCTACCACGAAATGTTCTTAGAACCCAAAAATGTTCCAATGACAAAAACAATATTCTTCGAACATAAACCCCATGTGTTAAAACAAAACAATCTCCGCCAGAAATGTTCTAAGAACAATTCGTGGGAACCACACAAGGTTCTTAGAACATTGTTTGGTAGAGCTATAGGCGAGCCAGGACGCTTCGCCACTGCTTGAGCACTGGAGCCCTAGACCGCATCTTCCGCGGCATCTGTCGAACGGGATCGATCTGTGCCGGTGCCAGGGCCCAGCACTGGCCGAACTTCTTCCGTCGCGGCGCGGCAGAGGCGATCCGCTCGCGCGTCCAAGCAACCCGGGCCTCGGCAACTGGCACTGGCCGAACACGCCCTGTGTGATTTGGACGCCCGAAGTGGGTACGGAACACATGGGTACAATGCCCAACAAACAGGTGTTGTCCAAAACCGACAGCCGCCGCTGTAGGGCAGGCGGCTGCTTTTTGGCTTCAATGAACAACGTCCGCGGCGGCGCTGACAGCGAGTCCTGCTCACAATGAGCGGGCACTGCTCTTGGACATCGCACCCAATCTTTCCGTACCCACTTCGATCGTCCCGATGCGAGAACACATTGCGACGCCCGGATCTCAGGGCCGGCCCTCCTCTCGGGCCGGGCGAAAGGGGGGGATAGAAAAGGGGGGGTTTGAGAATCAGCTCACGTAGCTGATTTTCCCGAGGCCTCCCAGCGCCCGAGGCGCCCATGTATCGAGGAATGGGCCCGGCGGCGGGGCCGAAACCAGCTGCATGCAGCAGGTTTCGTAACCCCCCCTTTCCCTCTCCCCCCCTTTCGTTCGGCCCGATCCTCGTTCCCCCACCCCCTCCGAGGCCAGGACGCAGCCCTCGCCCTCCGCGTGGTAGCGCCAGAAGTTCGACGGCGGCGGGCGCGCCAGGCGCACCGAGCGGAGGCGGGCGACGTCCGGGCCGGCCGGAGGGCTCGCCGGCCCCCTCTCCCGGCGGGGCGGTTTCGGAGGAAGCGGGGGATGTGTGCAGGGGGGGAGGAGGAGGAGGAGGAGGAGGAGGAGGAGGAGGAGGAGGAGGAGGAGGAGGAGGAGGAGGAGGAGGAGGAGGAGGAGGAGGAGGAGGAGGAGGAGGAGCGGCAGCAGCGGTGAGATAGGTTGATGACAACGATGATGATGATGATGCTGCTGCTGATGATGATGATGATGCTGATGCTCATGCTGATGATGATGCTGACGATGATGATGATGCTGCTGCTGATGATGATGATGATGGTGAAGATGCGGATGCTGATGCTGATGCTGATTGTGATGATGTTGATGATGATGATAAAGATGGTGATGATGATGATTCTTAGGATGCTGACGGCGATGACGATGACGATTGAGATGATGATGATGATGATGATGATGATGATGATGATGATGATGATGAGGATGAGGATGTCGATGATGATGGTGATGATGATGCTGATGCTGATGCTGCTGATGATGCGGATGATAATGATGATGCTGATGATGATGATGAATGTGCCGACGATGCTGATGATGTCGAAGCAGATGAATATGACGATGAAGGTGATGCTGACAATGATGGTGGTGGTGGTGGTGAACAGGATGAGAACGATGACGATGACGATTGTGCTGATGGTGGTGACGACAATGACGTTGATGAGAACGAGTGTGATGATGGTGATCAGATTGACTGGTGGTGCTGATAGTGATGATGTTGTTGGCGACGGTGACGGTGACGATGACCATGATGACGATGATGCTGACGATGACGATGCTGATGATGATGATCATGATCATGATGACGAGGATGATGATGCTGTTTGTGATGATGGTGATGACGATGGCATGATGACGATTACGATGATGATGCTGCTGATGATGCTGCTGTTGGTGATGTTGATGGTGATGCTTACGATGATGGTGACTATGATGAAGCTTGTGCTGACGAGTATAATGATGATGATGAGGATGATGATGAAGATTATGGTGATGATGATGATCATGGTGATGATGATGCTGATGATGATACTGGTGATGATGCTGATGATGATGCTGATTATGATGCTGTTGATGATTACGATTATGATGGTGATGGTGATGGTGATGCTAGTAATGCTGATGATGAGGACAATGATGATAATGATGATGATGATGATGATGATGATGATGATGATGATGATGATGATGATGATGATGATGATGATGATGATGATGATGATGATGATGATGATCACGAGGAGGAGGTAGAGGAGGAGCAGGACGACGAGAGGAGGAGGAGGAGGCTGAAACTATAGTTAATAGGAGGGGCATGGAGAGGAATAGGAGACCCAATGCCCTCTCCCCCTGGCCCCCTCGCGGGGCATTGCCCCTGGGCTCTTCGGCCGGCCCGGGGATGTTCGGGTGCTGCCGCAGCGTCTTCGCCCGCCGCCACGGGGAGTCGATGGCCACGATGGTCACCTCCGGACGCAGAACCAGCGGCATCTGCACAATCGGCTGGCGGTCCGCGCGGACGGCTTGGATCGGCGCTGGGCCCCCCTGCTCCCCGCGGCGCCAGGGGCCGAACCAAGATGTCCGCGCAGAGACCTCCGACAACTTTTGTGTTCGGGGGCGTCCAGTGTCCCAGAGGGGGGCTCGCGAATCGTGGCCCGAGGCGTGTGCGCGGGAACTTTGGGGGGGGGGGCAGGGGGCCGTTCTGAAAGAAGACGTTGAGCAGGGACCGACCGTCCCGGCATTCCTATAGTCCTATCACGAAGCGTTCTTAGAACCCAAAAATGTTCTAAGAACAACAACCATGTTCTCAGAACATGAGCCCGATGTGATAAAACAAGACAGTCCCAACCAGACATGTCCTAAGAATATTTCGTGGAAGCCACACAAAGGTCTCAGAGCACTGCTTGGTAGGCCTATAGGCGAGCCAGGACGCTTCGCCCCTGCTTGAAGAGGAGGGCGCCACGACATCCGAGGAGGCTGCGTGGCCCCGGCCACGAGGCGCCGCCCATATCACCTCAAACCCCACTCTGACGCCTTGTGTGAAGGGGCCCCAGGACACCCAAATAAATACACACAAATAAAAGTATTCCCAATATTTTCACATATTCACATATTTCATGGGTTTCTGTCCTCCCCCCCACTTCCCATATTTTCCTATATTTTCTGGGGTATCGAGGGTTAATTGTGTCTGTGTTTTTTCCCTCCTGATTGTGGCAAGGCTCGAGTTAAACGGTGTTTTCCGTTCTCGTTTTGTTTTCGTCATCCCTAACTCGGTCTTCGTTCCACATTTGCTGCAGAACGAGGTCAAAACAAAGACGGTCCACGAAATTGCCAAAACACCGTTTAGCTCGAGCTCTGCCTTGTGGCCTTCAAGCCCATGGCTCGGGCCTCTGGCGGCCGTTCGGGTGGACCCGGGGCATCCCGGAAAAAGCTCTCGTCCAGGGCGCTGCTGCCAGACAGCACCCCGAGGCGAGAAGAAACCTCCAGCAGCCGACGAGCACACGCCAGAACGAGCTCAAACGTGGAACCCGAGGGGAGATGCCCACCCACCCCTCGTCCCTCTCTTGGACGCCCGAAATGGGTACGGAAAAAATCGGTACAATGCCCAACAGCACATGTTGTCCCAGACCAACAGCGGCCGCTGTCGGGCAGGCGGCCTCCTGTCTCGAGTGGACACGGGCCGTGGCGGCGGGGACAGCGACTCCGGTTCAAAATAAACAAGAACTGCTGTTGGGCATTGTACTCCAGATTTCGTAATATAAGGGAGGGGGTCTGGACCCTCCAAGACAAGCCATTTCAGACCTCCCCCGTGGGAGAACCCTCCAAAACATCGTCCCCAGACCCCCCCCAGGCCCTCCAAGATAGCCTGGAAAAGACCCCCACCCCCGAACTGAGACCCCCCTCCCTTTATTACGACATCTGGAGTGCCCCTTTCGGGCGTCCAGACCTCGCCCTGGGCGCCGCCGATCTCCACGCCGCTTTTCTCCCCTCGGACCTCGCCCGGGCCCTGCAGGCCCTCGGCCGCCAGCGCCTCCGCGAAGGTGGAGCTCCCCTCGTCCTCGGCGGGCGGGCAGGGCGGGGCCCGAGCACCGACCCCGCGACGGGCTCCTGCGGCGGCGGCGCAGGCGCCAACCGGAAGTCGGGCACGTCCATCTACAGACGGGATGTTCAGAACGAGTCCAAACATCGTCTGGGGACAATGTTTCTATTGTTTTTGAGTGCTCTTGGAAAAAACATGTTGCTCTGTTTCCAGAATCTGCTCGTAGGAAGACGTGCCCGAAAAAAAGATGGGGTCCGGGGCTCTGGTTATGTTGTTCCCATCCTACTCAAAGACCACATCCCAGAAAGAATTTCGAGCACCCAGAAAAGTGTCAAAGGAGTGTCGAAAGAGTGTCGAAACAGTGTCGGACGAGTGTCCCCCAGGCCCCGTCACGTGAAAACCCTGGAGTTTCGGTACTTTTTGGGGCGCTCGAAATTCTTCCTGGCGGTCAAGGCTAAAAGTAGGTTGGAACATCATAAGGCTCCGGCCGAGTTTTTCGACCATGCTGCGGCATGCTCGTGGCGTCGGATCCGCGGGCTCTGGCAGCGCAGGTCGCGCGAGATCGGCCGATTCCCGCACCGCTGGCGGCGTTCCGCCTCGAGAGCGCCCACGCCGAAGTCGCCGCCGCGTCGACACGGCACGAGCCCAACGAAGCTTCGCGCACTTCGCGTGCCGTGGTGCGCGACGTGTGGTCATCTTCGCGCCCTCGCGAGCCCACTGGAGACAAGACAGGTGCGCCCAATTTCGCGAGCAGCGCTGCGCGATGCGCGAAGCGCGAACAACTTTACGCTCTCGTGCCGACCCCCGGGGCTGAAGATGAGGATGAGGGGGGTGAGGAGACGATCCGTGATGCGCGAATAACTTCGCGCTCTCGCGCCGCCCCTACAAGGCAGAGGAGGAGAGCCGAAGCGCGACGCGTGAAGAACTTCGCGCATTCGAGGACGCCCTTGAGGAGAGCAGCTCCCTAGCCCAAGGCGCGCCGCGCGACGCGCGGCCTTTTGCAACGGCAAGATTGAGGTCGGGGGTCTACTGGCTCGGGTCAATGCAAGCCCGGGTCAGTCAGGCCTTGCAAACTCCTGCAACATCCTTAGGCAACTACTGGGAGTTCATCGTCGGAAAGAGTAAGGAAGATTAAGGGGGCTACTACGCCAGAATAGGCTGCGGATTCAGAGGGATTAAGCCGGATTAAGCGGGATTCGCCAGATTAAGCGGGAATGAACCAAATCAAGCCGGATTCCGGATCACACCACAATCAGAATTTGACCTCCCAAGAATTGCATCCGAATGCAAAATCCTGCAGGATCGTGCAAGCAAACCCGGGTCAGAACGCCTCTGGCTCTGCAACATCCTGCAAGATCCGACGCTCTGTCTGAACACCATTTGCATTTTGACCCCCCGTCTCAAGGCTCCCGATAAGGGTTCTTGGGGAACGGGATCGGCCCTGGAAATTAGCAGGACGCCAACTATACTGCACCGATCCTGGCCAGGTCTATCCTGAGCCAAGGGTTCGTCCAAGTGTATAGCTGGCGCCCTCTGATGAGATGACCATGCTCCCACCCCCGTACCTTGTGGGAGGCGAGGGGGGAGGGCGTCTCAGCTGGATGCTCCTTGATTTTCCTGTATGTGCGCGATTCAAGCTATGCGCTGCAGCGAATTGGCGTACAGAGTGGCAACCAGACATCGCGACATTGACAGACTTCAGGGCACCATAAGGCATCATGGGGCAGCAACTAAGTGGCACCACCCATCGGGCAGCAGGGCGGTAGCTGGGACTCGAAACCAAGCGTGGCACCAGCCATACGAAAACGTGGGGTATCATTGGGCACCAGCCACACGGCATTACCCATGGAGCACCAGCACGGCAACGAGAAACCGCGACGAAGGCGGCAACCAGGAATCGCGACAAATGAGGCACCATGCTCCACAAACCACCGGGCAACACCCACAAGGCAGATCGGCAGCAACCATGATCCACGACAGTTGGCAAACCATGAGGCACCAGCCACATGGCGCCGAGCGGTAACCATAGATCGCGACAGCTGGGCCATCAGAAAAGCGCCCGCCACGTGGAGCCAGCCACAAGGTACCACGGTGGCAACCAGAAGCCGCGACAATTGGGAAATCAAAAGGGGTAGGGCAACCAATACTCGCGACAAGTGGGGCATCATACTCCACCAGCCACTGGGCAACCACCAGAAAGTCGCGACAACTGGGGCATTGAAAAAGCGCCAGCCATTTAGAAACACCCGCAAGGCACCAGGGTGGCAACCAGAAGCCGAAGCAACTGTGAAACCATCGGGCCCTGGCCGTAGGCACCAAGCGGCAACCAGAGATCGCGACAATTCGGGCACCAAAACAGCGCCAACCATTCATAACCACCCATCAAGCACCAAGACGGCAGCCAGAATCCGTGACAGTTGAGGGTTCACAGAACCCTAGCCATGGGACGCCAGGGCTGCAGCCAGAAACAGCGACAGTTTGGGCCATCAAGCAAGCGCCAGCCACAGGGCACCAGCCATGCGACCCCAGGTCGGCAGCCAGAACTCGCGACAATTCCACCATCGCGACAGGGCATCCGCCACGGGACACCACTATTGGGGCGCTAGGGCGGCGGCCAGAGATCGCGGCAATCAGCTCCAACCTCGCTACAAGCAAGAAACCACCTCGCAAGTGCAAGCCTTGTTTTGGTGAACTCTTGCTCCAAACCGCAGGCCCGCATGCAGTTCGCAAATCCCCCCCTCGTCGATCTGGGGCGTCGGGTCTAGGCCAAGAAGGGCTCGTGGGGCCGCAAGATCGCAGTGTCGATGCTTGATGGCATGGAGCACCCCTTCCAATGATCCTCAAGACGTGTGTTTAGAGCAGGGACCAACCGTCCCGGCAATCCTATAGGCCTACCACTACATGCTCCTAGAATCCCCAAATGTTCGAATAACAAAACAAGGTTCTCAGAACATACGCCCGATGAATTAAAAAACAGTGTCAGCCAGAAATGTTCTGAGAACATTTCGTGCAGACAACAACAGGTTATTCGAGCATTCTTTGGTGGGCCTATATCAAGCCAGGCCGCTTCGCCACTGCTCGAGCGTTGGCGCCAACGTGTGCCTGCCCACCGACGCCCTTCCACATTGTCGCAGGCAGTGCAGCGAGGGCAGACGCGGGCTGCGTGCTGCCGGCGGAGCAGAGTGGGGTGACGCACGCGCACACACATTGGGCTAACACCAGGGGGCTCGACCACGAGAAGCCTTCCAGAAGAAACCCAACCCTGGAACATCAGGACGTACAGTGAGTTTTGGTGTGGAAACGTCACGCACTCCATAGAAAAACCATCAACACCCAGGGAACCTGGGGCACCCTGGAGGCAAGCAGGGTGTTACTTCGCATGAGTTCCCACTGTAACGCACTTCCTGAGGATCATCGGCCCATGGAAAACATATAACGAGGACAATGACAACGACTGAACGCGGAAACGTCGGCGTCCTCCTCAATAATCGCCCATCTGAATCATCGTCGATTCCGGGATCGTCCTCGCGAATCGGCGACGGCTGGCATGGACCATGACGAAGATCGGCATCGACAAGATCCCGGGACATCTTGGTCATGGTCATCGTGTTTCTTCCCTCGAACCCTTCCCTAAGATTCGACGTTGCGACAAAAACGCAACATCGTAAAACAAATCACGGCCAGAGCCCTAGACCCCACCTTTCTGCAACGTTTTCCGAACCAGATCAACATGTGATGCTGGCGCGGCCCGAAACCGGCCGAAACCGCCTGATGTGAAACAAATGCAAAGCCCAGATCATGGAATTACCTTTTCCTTCGGAGGTGCATGGACAGACACCTCTCTATCTAGCGAACCGCCCTTCAGCGAGAACTCCACGTGCGCACGGCACCGCATTCCAAGTGCACCCCAGCGGGGTAGCTAATCGACCTCCCCAAACGAATGAGTGTATCCAGCGAAACGCACACCGATTAGCGAAACCGACTGGAGACTGCACCGGTATACTCGAATGCCAATGTCAAGTGAACCAGTGCAGATTTACTTATCGACTTGTCTGGATGTTGGGTGAGCCTTCTTGGGGGCCTCTGTGGACGTCCGGGCCCTATCATAAACGTAATCCCACCAGCCCTTTGGGCGTGAGTGGTTTAGGGAGCTCTCTCTGTTCTCAACCCCCCTTCTTCCCCTTCGGGGAGGGGTTTACCCCTCCCCCTACCCCTCCCCCTGGCCCTGGAGAGGTCCTTTCGCGGGTGGCCGGAGGGGTCTTTTTCGACTCCTGGGAGGGCTAAAAAACGACACCCCTCACGAGGATTCTGGCCCCGACGGGGGGAGGCAGAAAAAACCCTCTCCTCTTCTTTGAAGCCAGAATCATTGATTTTACTACGGTTTTGGCCCCATTTTCCCCTTCTGAGGGGGCAGCGCTCATTAAAGCTCCCCTCTTCTTTCCAGGCAAAATCATTGATGTTACGAAGGTTTTGGCCTCATTTTGCCCTTCTGAGGGGGCAGCGCTCATTCAAGCTCCCCTCTTCTTTGATCGATTCCCTCCAAGATGGCCCAAGAAGCGCCCAGGAGGCACCAAGAGGCCCCAAGATGGCCCCAAGAGGCCCCCAGGAGGCCCCCAAGAGGCCTCCAAGAGGCCCCCAAGATGCCCCCAAGAGGCCCCCAAGAGGCCCCAAGAGGCTCCCCCGAGGCACCCAAGACGCTCCTGGAAGCCCCTGGGGCCGCCAAGAGGCCCCCAAGACGCCCCAAACGGCCTCCAAGAGGCTCCCAAGAGGCCCGAAGAGGCTCCCCCAAGGCACCCAAGACGCTCCTAGAAGCCCCTGGGGCCGCCAAGAGGCCCCCAAGACGCCCCAAAAGGGGACGAGGTGCCCGAACGCCTCACGCCACGAGAAGCCCGAACGACTCACACCAGGACGAGGGGCCCGAACGACTCACACCACGAAGAGCCCGAACGACTCACACCAGAAGGAGGGGCCCGAACGACTCACACCAGGACGAGGCGCCCGAACGACTCACACCACGAGGAGCCCGAACGACTCACACCACGACGAGGGCCCCGAACGACTCACACCACGAGGAGCCCGAACGAGTCACACCAGGAGGAGGGGCCCGAACGACTCACACCAGGACGAGGGGCCCGAACAACTCACACCACGAGAAGCCCGAACGACTCACACCAGGACGAAGAGCCCGAACGACTCACACCACGAAGAGCCCGAACGACTCACACCAGGAAGAAGGGCCCGAACGACTCACACCAGGACGAGAAACCCCAAACGACTCAAACCACGAGGAGCGCTTTCTCTCCCTCCTCCTCCGCCTCGTCCTTCTCCCGCTCCCCCCACAAGGAGGATGTACAAGGAGGCGGGAGGAAGGAGGAACAGGGGAGATATGCGGGGGCAAGCGGACACACGCCTGCAAAACACAACAGTCGGCATGCTTCGCAAGAGTTGCTGTTGTGAGATGGGCTGGTGGGGATACGCGAAGCGTAAAGAATTCCGTCCCGATTTCTACTACCCCTCTTCACCCCTTCGTCCAGATTTCGTTCAGACGTCAACCGAATCCGACGAAACCCCCCAAACCAAAAGGAATTTTGGGACCCTCTGAGGCTCCCAAGAAAGACCACACAATGGCTGGGCGTTCTCTCAACGCCCGACTCTTGCTCGCCACCAGCATCCGGGAACAACACCCAGTGTGGCCTGAGGTGCAGCTCCCCGTGGGGCCACGAGACGTGTGAGGGGTGTGCCAGAATGACCACGCGGAGAGGCAGAGGGACGAGGCAGGGACGGGAGGAGAAGGGGGGAGGAGGAGGGTGTGGTGGAGCGCGGCAACGCTGCGGACTTCAAACGAGGACCGAACACAACAGGATGGTGGGGAACAAATTCAACGCCCTGATCTCAGAATTCATCCCTCTTTGCTCGCCGCCGGCGTCCGGGAACAAGACCCACGTGGTCCTCGGGTCGTAGGCCGGCACCTCGCGCACGACGCTGGCGCCAGTGCCCTCGGCGTTCGGGGCGCAGCGGCTGAGGGTGCGGTTCGTGGACCCGTCGCTGGTGTAGAGGTCGACGAGGCGCACCTGAGCGACGAAAAGAAGCGGGTCGTCAACCTTGCGCGGTGGCTTACGCGGGCCGCCAGCGAGGCACGCTGCACTGGAAACGAGGGCGCTTACTCGTGACCTTCCGCGGGCAACTTATGCGACAATGTCGGCAACAACGACCCCGCTTTCTTGCGTCGCTTACCTGGTCGGGCGCGAGCACCCTCGCGTGCATGCTGGTGGCCTCAGAGGAAGAACAAGTAGCACAGACAGAAACTGCTTGAGGTCCGCGCGGATTTCTTGGATCTGCGCTGGCGGCGACTCCAGTGCTGCCCCCGGCGCGCTCCAAGGTAGGGGGTCCATCGCCGATCCAAGAAATCCGCGCGGAGCTCCGACAATTTTTGATTATGCGATTTTTCTTCTTTGAGGCCTTCTTGGCCGCGTCATCAAAAATGACGTCGCAACGGCCAAAGGGCAGCTCCACGCGGGGGACCTCGACACCCTCCGGCACGCCGAGCGGGACGCAGCAGAACGGGCAATAGAACATCCCGCTGTGCTTGCAGCCCGGGCATGCGGCTCGGCTCCACCGCACCACCTCGCCAGCGAGTGCGTCGAGCGCCGCTGTGGGCTGCGGCGGAGCATCTGCCGAGGAACACTGTGCCGCAGGACATGGCGGCGCCAACGCCAGTTCTGGCGCCTTGCTGGGTGACGCCATACGGGGCCCTGAGCAGCCTCGGGCTCAAGAGCTGGCCTGAACAAAAGTGCAACGGAGGAAAAGGAGGAGGAGGAGGAGGAGGAGGAGGAGGAGGAGGAGGAACAGGAGGAGGAGGAGGAGGAGGAGGAGGAGGAGGAAAAGGGGGAGGAGGACGGGGAGGAGGGGGAAGAGGAGGAGAAGGAGGATGTGGTGGGTGGGTCATCAGTAGGGGGCCACTGGTCTCTCGTCAGCAGCAAAACCAAGCTCATACGCTTCCCCGTATGATATGGAAACTGGGCGTTTTTGATGGCGATGATGATGAGGAGGATGAGGAGGATGGGGCGGAGGAAGAGGAGGAGGAGTGGAGGATGAGGAGGAGGAGGAGGAGGAGGAGGAGGAGGAGGAGGAGGAGGAGGAAGAGGAGTGAACGTCCCCGGAGGAGTCCCAGCCCACCTACCCTTCGCGCAACCGCTGAATAGCGAGACCACGGAAGCGCACGGCCGCCGAGGCAGAAGTGTCAACGTGAGGGGGAGCGCCGATCTCTCCCTTCATGGCGTGATATATGTAGAAGGTGATGGCGAGAGAGCGGATGACTTGAGCCAGCGTGAACTGACTCACGTGCCCCTCCATACCCCCAAGGCCCAACCGAACTAAAACCTCCGAACTCATTGGCATTTGCTGGTCAGCTACGCGCCCCAGGACTTTGTCACAAACTAACTAATGCTGTACATAGTCGAGACAGCGTGGACATCCTAGCAAGCACATCTTGGACCCAGGGATCACGTGCTGTACGATTGCTGGTGGTCCATGCTCCGCACAGCGTCTGTAGAAAACACCACCTGATCGCGGGCTTGCATTTACTGAGGAAGAAGCGGAGGTGGAGCCAGCGGGCAAGGATATCAGGGGGGAGGGCGAGGTCAGGATACAATTTACGCAAACGCATCCTAATCGTGCCAACAAGCTGCTCTGGACACACCTGCTGCGAATGTGGGGCACACACGACGCGCTGCACCTTGGGGCGCCCAGTCCCCTCCGACGCCACCCGCTCCACCTCCCTCCGCCCCGCGCGCGCAGCCGTGCGCAAGACTGCTGACGTCATCTTGCATGTGCGATACAGACTCATGGCCTGGCACAAGCGTATGTCCTCGAAGCGCTGCGCGGTCGCTGAGGGTTCTTGCCACCATTCTGAAGACCACATCAGAGCAACACAGCGCGGCAGCGGAGCGAAGCGATCGGCGGCCTCCTGAAGGCGCCGTAGGTGCACGCTCCATCCAGACAAGGTGGTGGTGCACGTCCGCCACAGCGACGCGAGAGAGAGAGAGAGAGAGAGAGAGAGAGACAACGTGGCAGTGGGCCCTCCTCCTCTGCACTACTCTGTCAGCGACAAAGGACCCGAACGTTTCATGGCATTGGGGGGGAATCCGCACGACTTGTGAAGAGCGTGGATTTCTCTTGTCAGAAGCCTCGGGATGGGCAAGAAGAGCTGCGCGACATAGCTAAGAGTGGGGAGGGTGGCAGAGGCGTACAAAAGAGGGAGGGCGGATGGTGGGGCACGAGTGCCGCTGGCGAGATGAATGCGCTTCCACTACTTTTCCGAGGGGGGCGTTCTGCTGCAACTCAGCGGTAGCTCCTGGGCCGAGCCAAACCCCAAGTATTCCACCACATCAGAAACCTGAAATGCACCCCACCTGCCACAGGCCCCCTCACAGAGGGGTCCAAAGAGGGACTGCTACATACTTCGCTGGTTGCAACTCTGGGACAGCGATTTTTTTCGTGAAGCAAAACGTTTCACCGATCATGACAAATTGAATGACGCATAGCATGATGAGACCGATGTCATTGGCGCATGCGCGCAACACTCCGTGATCGAGAGATGGAAAAGGACGTTGCAAGTTGCGCGGCAGTGGGTCCATGCACAAGGCCCAGAGATTCCCCGAAAGCGCGAATCCCTGGAGCACTCCACTGGTAAGCTCGCACATTGGCGTGAGAGGCATGTCACCAAACCAGGCGAACGCAACATGAGCATTGCAGAGGGCAACAATCGCCCAGGGAACACCTTGAGGCACGCCGTAATGTGCAAGAGTGAGCTCCAGCCATCTTCTTTTCAGGTTTGGGAACGCGGCTTTAAAATCGAAGGGGAGGAGGAGCGGTCTCTTGCGTGAGCCATGCTCACGCCACCCCACTCTCCGGCCTCCGCGTCCAACAAGGGTCTGTTTCCAACGAAGTTGCGACCCGTGGTGTGCCCTTGTTGGCTCTCATGCGCGCGCTGGTTCACCAGCGGCTTCAAAGTGAAATTCACCGCAGAGCTGATGGCTTTCACATCACTGTTTTTTGAAACTTAATGGGCGGAGATCCTGGCACCGACGAGTGACCCGAGCCGCGTCCAGTTCGTCCTGGCCCTTGGGGAGGAAAGCAAACGATGAGTGGTTGGCCTCATATGGCAAAAAGTTGCCGGAGTAAATGTGCTCGAAGACCCGATGCAGAGTGCTGGTGGCGAGAGGGTGGGAGAGCAAGGCTGAGTGAGGGAGACGGTCAGGATCAGGAGCACTTGGCTTAGCACGTTGGAGCGCCGACGTCAGTGCTTCCACGCAGGGCAAGGGGGCGTCGAAGGTGGGAGCAGGAGGGATACCAGAGGAAAGAAAGCATTGATCTCTGCGTCCGATGATTCGCGCGCCGCGAAGACTGGCTGCCAATGCGCCTGCGCAGCATTGAACATCCCCTGATCGTTCATCGCAACAGCACTCGCACCCTCCGAACCCTCGTCGCGCCCGTGCACGCGCACACCCTCGAGACAAAGCTGACGGGACCAGGGAGTCCACAAGCGTGCTCTACGTGCTGCTTTGCGCTCAATCTTACGCTGAAAGCCTCATCCTTGTGTCGACCGAATTCATCATAAGACGAGGCACGCATGCTGGCCTGCAATGCGAGACGCTGGTGCCACTCATCGTTGGCTGCGTCGCATTGTGAGTGAAAGGAAGCAGGAGAGATGAGGTCGACCCGACCGTCAACGACGACGAGGCGAGAGGAGACGAGGGGAGACGTAGCTATAAGACGTGAGACTGTGCGCGCGTCATGTCTCCACAGCGCTCGAGCCATGGATCGAAACATGTACGCGCGGGTGATGGGAGCGCCAGGATGCACAGTGTGAAGATACTCAGGGCCTTGGAGCTCATCACGTGTGAGCGCGGCAGCTTCATGAGTGGCAGATTTGATGCCCCCCCGCGCTGCTACTGCGTGCAATTGCAAAAAGTCTGTGCGAGACAACGTGCTGTCAAAGATGCGCTGAAACTCGGGAGTGCGAAACAAGTAGGGAGGAATCGCACGCTCTTGCTGCGGGCGCTCGGCAGACTGGGGGATCTTGAGGAGGCCGGGTGGCGGGTGGGTGGTGGAGGGAGGAGGAAGAGGAGGAGGCGGGGCGTGGCCCGAGGGGGGCCCCGGTTCGGCGCCGCGACGGCCAGGCCCCGCGGGGCCCGCAAGAGACCTACAGGGGCTGGCGGCGACAGCTGTAGAGATGCTCGGACTGTGGGCCCCCGGCGGGCAACGCCGGCGGCGGTGTGGCCTCATCATCATCCCTCAACGTCCTCCTCCTCCTCCTCCTCCTCCTCCTCCTCTTCCTCCTCCTCCTCCCCCTCCCCCTCCTCCTCCTCCTCCTCCTCCTCCTCCTCCTCCTCCTCCTCCTCCTCCTCCTCTTCCTCCTCATCGGTGGAAGCCAGGCGGTGTCTCTCACCGCCTGGCGGCGGTGAGAGACAGTGCGATACGCATGCGCAGGAGCCACAACATCTGGGAGACCCCGAGCAGCGCTCGGAAGCCTAAGGAAAACCCGCGACGCTCAAAGGGCGCCCCAGGAACGATACACCCTGCGAAATGCTTAAGAAATCATGGGTTAAGAAATTCATAGTCTCAGAACTTGAATAAAACCCAGAACTTCTATCCAAATCTTGGGATTTACATTGAAAAGTTAAGAATAATCGAGACTCTGGACGAAAACTTAGGTTTTCTTAAGCATCGCCTAAGGTGTAGATCCAGCTCGAAAGCACCCCTATAAACACAGTCAGCGAGGTGGTCGGGGGCCCCGCGCCCGAGCGCGCCATCTACATCCAGGGAGAATGCACGCGGCCGTGCGTGGTCCACCCGCGGAGCCAAGTCTGGAGAGCGCTCAGACCCTTCCGACCCTCCCCCCCCCGCTCCGCCCGGCCCGGGCTGCCGGGGCCCCCGAGACATTTCTGGGGCCCGACGACCGCCAGAGCTCACGTATAGAGACGAGGGGAGACGAAAGGCCATGGTAGTACTCAGGAATGCACCTCGCCGCTTCGGCCGCCCCTGGGAAGGGGTGGGGGTGGGGGGGCGCGGCGCGCGGCGGCGCGCCGGGCGCCTGGGCGCTCCGACTCTGGTCGGATCTGAGGGCCGCCGGGGGGGGGCGAGGCTCGAGAAGAAGGGCAACCACCTTCGGAACCGACTGCGCGCCTCAACCGCCGCAGGCTGGGCCTCCAGGGTTTCATTGTGCAGCGCGTGTTCTTCACGAGCGCAGCGCCGCCCAGGTCCGCGCAACTGACGGTCCTGGGGCCGCTGTGAGCTCCGATGCCAAACAAGACGGAATGGGGCAGCGCGCTACCAGAAGTTCGCCGCGCGGGCGCAATCATAAACCGAGCAGACATGAAGATGGTTCTAGGGGGAGAGAACGCTGCATCTTATACGAGAGAATCGGCAAACGCTTCTCTTGAGAGAGATCGCAAGACAGACGAAGCGACGACGCGCGATCGGGCGAAGGCTGTCGCCTGCTCCGCTACGAGCACGGGTCCTGCTCTTGGGGCTCAAGCGTGGCGGCGCGCCCAAGCTCGCGGCCCAAGTGGGTGGAGCTCTCGGCGATGCATAAGCCGCCCCAGCCGACCTGAGCCAGGACTGCGCGCATCTCCTCCGCCGCCGCCTGGGGGACCTGCTCGCGCAGCGGAAACACCATGCATGTCGCCACTTTCAAAAACCAATTCCTCCAACCCTTGGGCCGGCCCGAGGACCCTCTTGGCAACCCTGGGCGCGTCCGCGTCATTCAGCGCAGCGCCCGCGTCGTCGGCGCAGGCGAAGGCCGCTCCCCGCCGCCTGCCTGCGATGCTGCGCTTCGTGCCGATGTAGAAGCAGCTGGGGGCCATCGCGTACATCGCGCTGCTGAGCGAGCATCCTTGCAACGCGCCGCTCAACGTCCAATGGGCGGGGTGAAGAGCGCCACCAACTGCAAGCCAACGCAAGTTTTAGACATCGGACTGACTGATGGCCTCCAGCAGCCTATCAGGCAGCCTGCTCAGACCGGCGCGCAGCGGGGCCCTCTACTGGCTCGCGCTGTAGCAGTGGACCTCCAGGGCCAAAGAACGTGCTAGGACAACCGCGCGGTGGAAGGCTTCTGGGCGAGGTTGCTGACCAAACGGTCCATCTCCCTGCGCGACGCGCCCAAGTCTACCAGCGCTGCATGGTTCTGCTGCGCCCGTGCAGGGTCGGAGGGTGAGGCGATGACCTTTGCCCGCTGGATTGAACGGACTCCTGCGTCGCGACCGGCATGCGCCACCTCGCCGAGACGGGGGGCGAGGGCTACCCGCGCCTCGCTTCTTGTCGACTGACATGCGCGCGTCGATGCCCCTCCCGCCAGGAGAAGAGACTGAGAAGGACCTACGCGCACCATTGTGATCACACATCGCGTTGTGAGCCACAGCCACCGTACTTGCCGAGGTGCCCGTGACGCGCGCGAGCTTGACCGAGGATCGCCTCCCAGGGCGACGCCTTCGGTGTTGTAGTGCTCGCCGTGCTCGAAGCCTGCCGACGAGAGCCTGGGCTGCGCCATCCCGAAGATATCCCTCTTGGAGACGCCCTCTTTGGCTCGTGCGCTGAAGATGGCGGCGTCGACTTGGCGGCCCCAATCTGCCGAAAGGGTGACGGGGCGACTTTCCGTGGTCTCGTCTTCCAACTTGCGCGCCCGACCCTGCATGTCTGCCGAAATCTTTTCCACGTTCTCCATCTGGCGCCCAAAGCTAGCGATGCTTCTGACGTCCGCTTCGAATCGCGTGTGTTTGTCTTTCTCATGGCGCTCGAGAAAGGGCTGCAACGTGGTCGCGATGATGTCAGGAAGCTACTGGGAGTTCGACTAATTGACACCCGTCGTGATGAACGTCTGCGCGGCCTGCACGACCTGATCGGTGATAGCGTGATTGAGAGCCTCGTAGTTCAAGCCCCCGCATCCTTCGTCCTCCGTCGCACGCGGGTCCCTCTGTCCACCACATTTGCCAGCAGCACCAGCCAAAGGGCCGAAAGGAGGCTCAATATAGTTTTTAGGGATTGCGCCATGAACTGGAAGAGAGACCCAGCACCACGGTGACCACCAGCACTCCGAGCACTCGCAGGAGGATCACCTTCGCCATCAGGGAAGGTGGGGGCTGCGTCAAAATCCCGCAGCAGCCTCTCGCGCTCAGGTGGTGACGTATGGCTCGGTGTTACGGGGATGTCAGGCGCAGCCCTGCTGCCATGAGTCCCAGCTGGCGTTGGGTGATCTTGAAGCGGTTCACTGCCACGGCTGGTCCGAGAGCGTCCGCTGCCCTCGCTGCCCTGTCCGCGACGTGGCAGCCGACTAGGGGAACCACGACGGGAGTAAGCTTCGAAACGATCGGAGGCACACTATACTTCAGACACATTTCAGAGTCTTGCCGTCGACGACCATGGCTCCCTTTCTTGTTGACATCTTTAGCTGCGCCATCCTTCTTTTTGCGGCGCTCCTTCTCTGGCACGTCTTGTCTTGGCACTGTCGCACCTCAGGAACTCGAAATTCCAGTGTACCCAAGGAAGACAAGGCCCAATGGAACAGAGTTCACGGCTGTCACATGCATGCCGTGAGGATCGGGTCGAAGGCAGGCGATGATCTGGCCTCGGGTCAGATGTATTCGAATGGACCCCGTGGGAATCGAATATCTTGAGCCAAAACGGGGACGGTGGAGGAGGAGGACGAGGATAATACCAGGAGGGCGGACGAGCGGGAGGAAGGTGACACGCATGAGCACTAGGAACATCATGATGGTGCTGGTGGTGGTGGTAATGGTGGTGGTGGTGGTGATGGTGATGATGAGGCGGAGGAGGAGGAGGAGGAGGAGGAGGACGATGCTGCTGATGGTGATGATGACGAGGAGGATGAGGAGGAGCGTAAGGAACAGGAACAAGGAACAAGAGAAAGAGAAGAGAGAGAGAGAGAGATCAGGACTGACTGGGGCGGCTGCCTTCCTGCTCCAGACCTGCGACGCCCTGCTCTTCCCAATGCGCGATCCCCCGAAATTCCGACCCTTCCTCGGGACCGGCTTTTCGTCCTGAGTAGTTTTTGGAGGGTCCGGGGGCCTCGGGAGGGCCTCGGGAGGCCGAGAACGAAGAATAACCTGCCGTGAAGATTTTTCGCGGCGTGAGCATGCCCGGGCTCCTCCTCGGGCTTCGCGAGGAGGTGCCCGCCCCACTGGCGCCCTACGTGGCGCGCCGCCCGAAGAAGAGGAGGTACGCCCTCTCGCTCGGGACCCGGGCCGGCTCCAGGGGCTCCACCTCCTCGTCGTCGAAGAGATGCCAGCGCTGCGTGAGCCCGTGGCGGACCTCGAATCCCAGGGAAGAGTTCCCCCCCCCCCCCCAAGGCCATATAACGCGCGCGCCCCCCAAGGCTTTTTCAATCCGTGGGTTCGGCCTCCAAGGCCTGTTCTCGGGCCTGGGGGCCATCAGAAATGCGCCCCCCCGGCCCCCCCTCGTCTCCCTCCCCGTAGCGCCTGCTTTCGCCGCGAATTGCCAAATCCACTCCAGGGCGAGCTGAGATAACGGCGGCCCAGGATCGGTCCCCGGACTCCTCCCGGGGTCCAAACTGGTCAGGGCTCGGGTTGCGCACAGGCAGCCCCCCAGGTGGTCCCCGCTGGCTTCCACAGGCCCCCCAGAGGGTCTCCATAGGCCCCCCGAGAAGCCCGGGGCGGCGCCCCTGGGACGCTCCGACCGCCCTGGACCACTGGGGGGGCCTCTTGAGGCCAGCTGGATCTAATGCGGGATGACGATTAGTAAAAAAAATGCGAGAGAACGATACAACAAATAGTTTTCTGCTATTTCTGCATAATTTTCTGACTGGAGGAAAACGATAAAAAATAGTTTTCCAGCCCGCGGCCGGTTTTTTCTAATCGTCATCCCGGGCGCCGCCGCGTGAACACGACCCCCGGCCATTTATCAATCGTCATCCTCCATTACTCGGGGGGCCTGTTGAGGCCAGCTGGGACGACCTGGGGGGGCGGGGCTGCCTGTGCGCAGCCGGAGGCCTTACCGATGTAATATAAGCGCACCAGCTTTCCGAGTGGCGCTCCGCCGTGGCGGCGAAGGGCCCCCCCGAAGCCACCGTGGCCTCGGCTCGCCCTCGTCGGACGACCGCGGAGGTGTAGTGCCCGAAGCCGCAGGACCCGGCGTGGTAGGTGACGGCGAAGAGGTCGAAGGCGGCCTGCGCGTCGGGGCCGCGCGCGGCGACCACGCCCAGGGGGCCGAGCCGCAGGTCCCGCAGCGCAAAGTCGACGTGGTGGCCCAGCTTCCTGGCCCGGTAGGCGAGCAGGGAGGGGCCGTCGCCCCCCGGGGACGGGACGGCGTCGAAGCGGAAGCGCTTCAGGTGGACAATCATGGAGGGAGGAAGGACGGCATGCAGCAGGAGCTCGACCACAGGAGGCCTTCCACGTGAAACCCAACTCCGAGACCCCGGGACGTCCATGAATTTTTGGGGTGGGAGCGTCACGTTTTCCAGCGCAGAACTAGGGACATCCAAAAAAAAACGGGACACCCTGGAGGCAAGCAGGGTGTTTCTTGGCCTGGCCTTCCACTGTATAAGTAAGCGTTCGGAGCTCCGCGCGGACTTCTTGGGATCGGCGCTGGGGCGCGCGGAGCGCGCCCTGAGGCGGCGCCGGTGGCGGCGCCAAGGGAGGCCCAGCGCCGATACGAGAAATCAGCGCGGAGCACCGACAGTTGATGCTCAATCATGTCACGTTTCCTCCCTCGAGATCAGCACCCGGGGCAGCCTCCACAGCGTGATGACCTTGGCGGCGTCCACGCGGTCGCGGCAGCGCGGGCAGTTCCAGCGCTCGCCGCCCGACAGTTTCTCCTCGCGGGAGAACTCCCCGAAACACTGCTCGAGGGTACTCAGGGGTGCCCCCGCGGCGTCGACGACCGGGAGCGACAGGCAGGTGAAGGTCTCGAACTTGCGAGAGACAAGGCCGCAGCGGAGGCACTGGATCTGCGACCTCAACTGCCCCTGGAAGACGTCCGTGACTATCGACGCTTCCTGCTGAAGAAGCGAAGCTCGGCATAACTATAAGTTTTCGGAGGTCCGCGCGGACTTCTCAAGATCAGCGCTGGGCCCCCCTCCCTGGCGCAGGGGCGGCGCGGGAGGAGGCAATTTACGTCTCATACGGGCGCCCCTCCCCGAAGCTGCACCAGAGACGGTCCGACACATCTGAGAGGGGCTCCGGGAATTCATGTTTCTGCAATTTTCTCTCCCTCGACTCCTGCTGCAGAGAGTGCGCCCACTGCTCCTCTGCCGCTCTCTCCTCCTGCTCGGCGCTCATGGCTCCCTCCAGGCGCCCAACGTGCCCGCCGCCACGCTGCCCGCCGCGTACCCGGTTGAGCTGCTCGTGCAGGCAGGTCAGCAGGTAGTCCGCGAACTCCTGGGCGTCCTGCTGGTCCACGCCGTCGAACTGCTCCTCCTTCAGAGGACAACAAGAAAAACGGCATGAACATAACTTTCGGAGGTCCGCGCGGATGTCTGGGATCGGCGCTGACATTTACGGTCAGGAGCTGTTGCCTAGCATGTCACGGCGGCGGCCCTGGCGTCACGCCATGCCTTGCAAGCGGACAGCGTGTCGCTCCGCCCCGTAGGGCGGGAGGCTGGGAAGTGCTCGGGATGCCGAGGCTTGGGAATGTGGATGTAGATAATTAGCATGTCGAGCTGAAGCGTGGTGTGCCAGAACCGGCGCAGCGACGCGCCCAAACACAAATCCCTGACCGCGTGCAAAGGCCTCCAGGATGGAGTCCGAGCAGGTGGGGTAAGAGCATCGCGCCGCACCTCCGATGCGTCGGGGATGCAGAGGCGACGTCAGCGGTGCATCATCGACGCCAGCGCGGAGAACATCGGGCTCCGCATCGAGCCGCACCGCCGATGCCCTGGCGATGCGGCGCGATGCTCCGACCCCACGTGCTGGGGCCCCACCGGAGAGGCCCAGACCTTGCTCCCGCCGCCTCTTCTTCCCCGATCCTTGGCCGCGAGCGCATCCCTGAACCTTCGAGCAGGGGATCGACTACAGAATGAATGGATTCACCACATATTTGTTTTTTCCGTCGAATCTACGAGCAGTGCGTAGACTGCTCCGAAAATCTATGGGGCATTCTACGTTTTTCTGTGATCAATTCTGCAGCCGACCCTGAGATCCGACGTTGCGAAACAATTGCAGCATTGCAAGAACCACGACCGGAACCCAAACCCATCTTTCTGCGCATTTTTTCAGGGCCGGATCGATCTCTGAGGGTCCACGGGCCCGGAACTGGGCGAAAGCGCCCGTCGCGAAAAACTGCAACGTCAGGATCTCAGGGGATCCCCTGCTCGAAACCTCGAGATCCGGTGGGGCCCCGACTGCCCCGCGCCCCGGGCCCAGATCGCCGCGATCACGGCCGCGAACTCCCGCGCGACGGCGCCCTGCGCCGCTCCCGCGATGGCGAGGTCTCTCGGGCCGGGCGGCGGGGGCGGGTGTGTGTGGCGGCCCAGCTCGCGCAGCTGGCTTCCCAGTGGGGGAGCTCACGAACGGCCACGGGGGTCTGGGTCGAAAAGCCTCCCAGATGGGGTAGGAGTAAACCGGGTCGGAGGATCGCGCCGCATCGCCGAGACATCGGCGATGCATCGGCGATGATACATCGGCGACGTCGGGGATGCATCGGCGACTTCGATGTAAAGCAAGTCGGGCTCCACATCGAGCCGCTTCGGCGATGCAGCGGCGATGCGGCGCGATCCTCCGACCCAATCTACTCCGGCCCCATCTAGAAGGCCTACAGGGTCCCATATCCCCCCCCCTTCGCGGGGCCTGGGTCTCTCCGCCGGGCGGCGAGCATGCTGTCACGGTGCGGGAGACCCTGAGATCCTGGCGCTGCATTTTTGGTTCGCAACGAGCGCTTTCGCTACATTTCGGGCCCCAGGGGACCCTCACAGATCGATGCGGCTCGAAAAATGACGCATACACATGGGTCCGGGGCTGCGGCCGCGATGTTGCGATGTTGCATGTTGTTTCGCAACGCCGGATCTCAAAGCATCCATATCCACACCCTCGCAGTCTGGATTCCGGGTGCGCGATCCCGCGGGATCGCGGCCGCACGGGTGCGCTGCGCGCGGGGCCTCCGCGAGAAAGCGCCCCGGATCCGCCAGGCGAACCAGCTCACGCAGCTGGCTTCCCTGAGATCCGACGTTGCGAACGAACATGCAACATCACAGAAATTCACGACCGGAGCCCAAGACCCCATCCTTCTGCGTCATTCTTCGAGCCGGACCGATCTGTGAGGGTCCCGGGGCCTGACACTGGGCGAGTATGGCCGCTGTGAGACAGTTGCCACAACAGAATCTCAATGTTGCCAAGCATGCTTGCGGCCGCCGGAGGCCCGGACCGGGCCCCAGGAGCGTCCCCCAAAATATGAGCCAGGACAAAAAAACCGGGCCCCAGGAGACGGGCCCAGACCGCTGGTGGACCACGCCAGGAACAATCACGACGCCAGAGGTTTCCATGGACCTTGAGATCCTGGCGTTGCAATTTTTTCACAGCGGGCGTTTTCGCCCAGTTTCGGGCCCTGGGACCCTCACAGATCGGTCCGGCTCGAAAAATGACGCAGATGGTGTCTGGGGCTCTGGTCGTGGATTTCTGCGATGTTGCTTTTTTTTCGCAACGACTTCGGATCTCAGAGGAGGAGCAAACAACTGAGGTCCGCGCGGATTTCTTGGACCGACGCTGAACCCCATGGCGGCGACTCTGACGTCGCCCCTGGCGCGCTCCGCGCGCCAGGAAAGGAGCCCCAGTGCCGATCCAAGAAATCCGCGTGGAACTCCGACACTTTATGTTCATGCTGTTATTTGACTTTCGATTCCAGGCGCCTCCCGGCGCAGGAGGCGACCATGTGTACATCGAGGAGAAAGCCCCGCGGGCCCGAAGCCAGCTGCGTGCGGCACTCTCTGGAACCGCCCCTGTCCCCATCCCCAGACGTCCGACGTCGTGACTTTTCCATGACGTGGGCCCCCACAGGACTCTGGACCCCTCCCCTCTAGGACCGGCACGGTGAGGTCCCGAGGCCCGTGGGGGGCCCCCAGAGGCCTGGCTCCGAGGCTAGGTGAGGAGGACCCCCAGGAGCCGACACCCGTCAGAAAAACCGCCCGTCGTGACTTCTTCGCAGCGGGAGCTGGACCACGACTCGGACCCGTGGCGTCCGCTCGGGACGAGCCGGGCCCCCCAGGGAGGCCCTCGGCGAGACCCAGACTGCCAATCGCCTTCCGTCGTTCCCAGACCCCCGACGCCGCATCTCTTCCACGACGTCGAGCCCCAGAGGTCTGGACCCCGTCCCCGGGACCAGCTCTTCATCCTGGACTTGTTCCTTGATGGTCCCGCAGCCCAGCGAAGGCCCCCACTGGCCATCGCTCGGACGTCCATTCCCTGTGTTTTTTTCGGCTTCGTGCGTGGTTTTTTCGGCAAATGGTCAAGGATGCTCCTCGATGGTCCCCGCCGAGGAAAAAACGCACACGTCCGAGCGATGCCAGGCCCAGAGGCCGAAGATAGCGAAACACCTGCCGCCCCTGATTCTTCCACAACGCGAGGGCGTCCGGGGCCGTCGTATAACGTTTGCGAGGCCCGGTCTGTGTCCCCATGCCCAGACCCACTCGCGTGAAGGGGCAAAGTCACGACGGGAGGTTTCTCGCTGTGTTTTCGGCCTCTGGGAGCCCTTACACCCTCGCCTTCCAAAGAAAGGTGCAACATAGCCCTCCAGGCCTATAGACCTGCCTGGACTGCCTGAAACCACGACAGGAATCTAGATGTCGAGATCCTGGTGCTATTTTGTAGCCCCCTGGGAAGGTCTGGGCAGGGCCTCGGGACTGTCAGCAAACCACGCGGGAGGAAACACCAGTTCCGGGGAAGGGGTCCAGACTTCGTGGGGTCGACGTTGTGAAACAATCACAACGTCGGGGGTCAGGTGAGGAGCCGAACTTTATACACCGACGCCTTTGTCTGGCATCACACTGAATCTCGCACAGGAAAGCGGATCCCGGTGTATACGGGATCCTGGTTTATACATTCTTCGTTGTTTCCCCGGGAAAACCGGGAAACAAGTATACACCACGCCACCCCGACGTCGTCCCCGACCCTCAAGAAAGTCCTGGGATTGAAAAACCGCCCGCCACTGGTAATGTATATGCCTCAATTTCCGATCAGGGCCCCCCTCGGGGATCTTCTGACCCGGGTCAATCCAGACCCGGGTCAGTCAGGCCTGCAGGATCCTGCAAGCTCCTGCAAGATTTGACCCAAACCCGGGTCAATGCGAAGGATCCTGCATGATCCTGCAGAATCCTGCACCCAAACCCGGGTCAATGCGACCCTGGCCCTGCAGGATCCTGCAAGATCAGGCGCTCTGGCTGACACCCGCTTGCATTGACCCCCGTCTCAAGGCTCCCGACCCCCCCCCTCTTCGCCCGGCCCGGGTCTCGCTGCAGCGGGCCGTCCGCCCGGCAGTACCCCACGAGCGGCTCGGCGCCAGCCAGGCACTGCAGCAGGGAGTTCACGCACAGAGGGACAGAAGACGGCAGGCCCTGGCGTGGAAGATGTTGTCGACTGCACGCAATGAGTGGCGCTGGGCAAGAGTGACCTTTGGTGCGCGTTTTCTTCGGGGCGGGAGGTAAAGGGCAGAAAATCCACCCCGATAATAACCACCTCGACACGCGAAGCCGTTTAGTAAACGCACCCAAAGAAGGAATCAAACAGGGCAGGGCTGTTTAGTAAACGCCCAGGGCCGTTCAATAAACGCCAATTGTCCGATCAGGGTGGTCTTTCCTCCCTTGAGGAGGGGGCCAAACCTGAGCGCGCAGGCCGCCGCCATCGCATCGCGCTCAGCGGTCGGGGGAATCCCAATGAGCCCGCACCAAAGGACCATCCGGCGAAAGGGCACTCGTAGCAGATTGTTCGCAGCGGGATAGGTCGGACCCCAGGACCATCACGGATCGAACTGGCTCGAAGCATGCCGCAGAAAGATGGGGGCCGGGGCTCCGGCCGAGTGTTTGTTCCGAAACTGCAACGTTGGATTCAAGGGTTAAAAACATAAGTTTTCGGAGGTCCGTGTGGACTTCTTGGGCTGGCGCTGGGCCCCTCCTCCCTGGCGGCAGGGGCGCGCCAGAGGCGGCGGCGGCGGAGGCGCCGCCAAGGGGCCAGCGCCGACACAAGAGATCCGCGCGGTCCTCTGAACGTTACGGTAGACAAAAATCACGACCGCAGCCCCTGGACCCCATCTTGCCGCTCCACTTTCTCGAGCCGGACCGCGAGCTCTGTGAGGGTCCCGCGGCCCGAAGCGAGGCGACAATGTGTGAAACCAACTGCAACCGCAGGCTCTCTGGGCACGCCGTTCTCTGCCCCCTCGGCTGTAACAGGAGTTGCCCAGGTTCTGCAGGCCGACCAGGCCCCGGCCGGCCTCGGCGGGCGCCAACGCCCGAGTGGCCGCCGGCGGGGGCGCCCGCTGGCCGCTGTCGCGCGGGGCCTCGGGCGCCGCGGGCTGCGGCGCGCGGCCCACCTCGGCGCGCGGGCCCGGCGAGGCCGCGGGGGGGGCCGCGGAGGCCGCGGGCTGCAGCACCCGGTCCACCCAGGCGGCGGGGATCTGCTGCTTCACGCCGCTCCGGAACACGACGCTGATCAGGCCCCCGGGCAGCCTCTCCGCCACCCTCGCCTCCACCGGCTTCGTGCTCCAGCGCTCGGCGAGGCGGAAGTAGGTGGAGACCATGGCGCCCACGGGCGGCTCGCAAGGCGCCCGGCCGCGGGCAGCCTGGCCGAGGCCCACCAGCCGCTCGAACTCGGCCTCGCCGATCATGCCGCCCGTCGGGCGCGCGAGGGCCCACGCCTTCGCACACGCCTCGTGGCGCGCGGCGGGCGCGTACGCCGGTTCGGGGAAGTAGAAGCCCATGATCCGCATGAAGTCCTCCCGGCCGATGCCTGGGCGCTGCCGCCCGAGGATCTGGAAGGCGCGGCGGGCCGAGAAGCCGTGGCGCTCGATGTCCTCCGCCAGCGGCACCAGCACGCCGTGGTCGGGCGCCGAGCCGCCCGCCGCGCCACGCACCGCGCCGAGGACCGGGGTGCGCAGGTCGGGCGCCGTGCTGGTTGGCGGGTGGCGCGCCGCGCCGGGGGCCGCGGGGCGCAGGTCGGGCGCAGTGTGGGTTGGCGGGCCGCGCATCGCGCCGGGGGCCGCGGGGCGCAGGTCGGGCGCCGTGTGGGTTGGCGGGACGCGCACCGCGCCGGGGGCCGCGGGGCGCAGGTCGGGCGCCGCGCAAGGGGCCGCGGGGCGCAGGTCGGCCGCCGTGTGGGTTGGCGGGCCGCGCACCGCGCCGGGGGCCGCGGGGCGCAGGTCGGGCGCCGTGTGGGTTGGCGGGCCGCGCATCGCGCCGGGGGCCAGGGCGCGCCGCCCGCTCTGGCGGCGCCGTCAGGCGAGGCCCCGCGCGTCCGGGCGGGTGCCATCGCGGAGGCGCTCGGGTCCCGCGGGGGGCGCTGGCGGCTCGCCGCCGCCCTCCGCCAGCCGTGGGCGCGGGGCCCGGCTGCTCGAGCCAGGCTCGGCCTCGGGCCAAGCGCGGCCTGCGGACGAGGAGGGACGAAGACGGCAACGAGCACCAAAAGGAGGAGGAGGAGGAGGAGGAGGAGGAGGAGGAGGAGGAAGAGGAGGAGGAGGAGGAGGAGGAGGAGGAGGAGGAGGAGGAGGAGGAGGGGGAGGAGGAGGAGGATAATTATATAAGAGCATCGTTGACGCCAAGTGTCTCTCTGTCTTCGCAGGTCCTGGCATCGGTGAGGCACGAACTCGTGCCAACGGAAGACGCCGACAGGCACCCTGCGCTGGGAATTCAGCGACTGGCCTGCGAACGCCACGGCTCATGGATGGCCCGCGCGTGGGCTCGATAGCATACGCCGCCAGCCTCAGTGCAATCCCCCCCCCCGCCCCCGCCCACTCCCAGCCGTGCCCCGCCCCCGTCCCATTCTTCTGCTGACGGCTTGCGACCTTAAAAGGGCCTTCTTCTATCTTTTCAAAAATGAAAACAGAACCAGGAGTGATACTCCCGTTCAAAAACAAACCAACCAGTCTCACAGAAAGCGCATCGAGCCGAGCTGCAACTCTCATCACCTCGGTCTCAGTGCTGCCAAGCTCTCGTCTGTCTGGTCTCGCAATCTTGCGAGCTCTTCCCGCTCGAGAGACCCCCGCGGCGGGAGCCCCGCCTGCAGGATGCCCTGCTCCTTTTTCTCAAGGGCGTACAACACGCCCCTACCCTGGTTTACCAGGCGCTGTGCGCTGAATCTCCTGTGGGCTGACAGGGTAAACCCTGCGTGATGTGCGGCGTCCTGGCGGCTCTCTAGGCTGGGAAGGTTCCCAGGAGGTTTACAGACCCATTTATTTGTAACTCAGGGCAGGGTCGTTTTTTTCTCCTCCCTTGATTTTCAGCGCCTCCACTGCTGCCTCCTGCAACTCCGTCCACTGGGCACCGAAACAAATCGTGATGTGCGCCGCCTCTGTCTAGCTCTCCTTTTTTGCGGGTATCCTTGATGCGACAGTGACGAATCTGCTCGGCCAGGTCCTAATGGTCCCTCTGGAGGACCTGCTCCGTCCAACAGTTCTCGGTGACTGTGCGGCTCCTCTCGGGCAGTCCCGCGCCGCCGTGCGCCGCCTTGATCGTGGCCTTGATGAAGAGGCCCTGGGACACACAAATGAATACACACAAATAAAACTATCCCCAATGTTTTCATATATTTTCTTGGTTTTTGTCTTCCCCCCCACTTCCCATATTTTCCCATATTCCCCTGGGAATCGACGATTAATTGTGTCTGTGTGTTTTTACCCTCCTGACTTGAGCGCGTGTAAAAAAAGGTGGGCCCATCGTGTCGTAGCCTCCAGACCTGCTTCCGGCGCCCCCTTCCTCGCCGCGCTTGGCCCGCGCGCGGCGGTCGCGGCCCGCCTCCTGGCCATCGCTCGGACGTCCATTTCCTGTGTTTTTTTCCGTTTCGTGCGTAGTTTTTTCGGCAAATGATCAAGGATGCTCCTACATGGTCCTCGCCGAAGGAAAAATGCACACGTCCGAGCGATGCCAAGCCTCTTTCATCGCTTTCGCGATGGACGCGGCGGCGGGGATGGGGGAGGTGAGGTGCACGACCGCGATTGGATCGCGAAGCTCCGCGGCCTGCGTCGGCGCCGAGGCCGCCGGCGCCTTGGTCGTGCTCTCGAGCAACTGTGCCTTGGGGCCTGCTCCGGCATTGGCGCCGAAGTCCGTCGGCAGCCTCTTGAGCCCTCCCTCCCGCTGGCCGTCCGCGCCTCGTTTGAATGCCCTCTTCGGCCCCTCGAGAGGCATGTGCGCGCAAAGGGGCGTGAGAAACAATATGGATATTAATGTCAAGTAAGTCTGGTGCCGAGTTCTCGCGCGACGGACAATCACGCGACGCAAGCTGCACAGCGTGACCATAATGCCGCGCTCTCGTAACTCTGTCAGGTCGAGCTCGCTTCGACACCGCATGGCTATAAGCAGCTTAGCCGCGCGAAACATATCACTGCAATGCGGACAATGGTTAGTCGGTTAGTCACCGCGATCGAAGCGTGCACATCCGTCATGCGATGTACACGTCGGATATGACTCGATAAGCCTCTACTCGAATCGAACGACGCAGAACGGCTCTCTCCTGGAATATCCTCTGAATTGGAACTTCCAGAGACCATCCCCTCCCCCTCCTTTACCATGTCTTTTCTCATCCCTATCCACGGGCAACTTTTGAACATCTTGAGCCCTCAAAAGCCCCGCATCCACCTGGATGAAATCCTGTCTCGCCTCCGGCTCACATCGTAGATCACTGAGATAAGCGCGCGTATCATGCGCGGGATCTGTTTCAGCCGTACTCCGAAGCTCTGACAAAACCCTCCGAGCCCGCGGGTTCGCGTTCTCAATGAGCCTCCCTCCCTCCGTCATTGTCTCCCCCCCTTCCAGTTCGTGGCCCCGAAGTGTGACGCTATCCATTGTCTGTCTGTGCCTTTTCGGGTCGTTTCGCGAAGGCTTGCGATCTCCTCTGGCACCTAATCCTCAGTTCAACCTCGAACGAGCAAAACGCCTGGTGATTTCTGACGCGCTCATTCGATAGCGACGAGTGAGTGCAATCGAGCTGGGTGCGCGCCAGTCTGCACAGAACCTTCCTCGCCAACGTATCTACAACATGCTGAAGCTCCGAAAGCCGCCGATCAGACGGTAGATGGGCCTCGAAATGCTGAGCAGGCGTGCCGACGAATAAAGACAAAGGCATGGGGCGTTTCAGCCGAATCGGGGCCCCTGTCAAATGCCGGAAGCTTCCCAGGGAATGGGGGGCCTTGAAAGCAGCCGCCTTGCGGGCCTGCAGCTCTGGAGGAAAAGGCTGGGCCGGCCTGGGCCCTGCCGCTAATTGGCCGCCGAGGTATCTAACCAGATGGCGCGCGTCTCCTGGGGCCCGCAGTCTACCGAGACGGATGTCGCGCAAATCAAGATCGGCGCCTGGGCCGAGCAGGCGCATCAAACTCATCTGCTTCTTGGTATTCTGAGCGCAGTTATCCTCGGCCAGCGCCTCCGATGGGAGATCAGAAGCCCTTCGCGCTCTCGCCGCAAGAGAAGGAGCACGCTCGCTGGGCTTTCCCAGATGAGAAAACACAAGATCGTCAGCGCACAGGCACACCGCAAGATCGACCGGGGAGGGATCGCAGGGGCTCATCGTCACCGGCTGCCCCTCCGTCGCTCCCTCCGCGGCCATGGCACTACACTGCCGTGCTACGCTGGGCTGAGAGGCCCTCGCCCACGCCGCCGCCATGGAAGGGCCCCCCCATCGCCCCGCCGCGTGCAGGCCGCAAAAGCTTGGACCCGAATTCGCGCGGCACTGAGATGGTGGCTTGCTCCACCCTCTGGAATCCCATGGGAACATTGCCCCCGTTAAACGCTCTGCTGCTGCCAGGTCAAGCCTACTCTGCAACATTTTCCCGAACGCGCTAGTCGCATCGAAATATTGCCTACAAAAAAGAACACCCGCCCCGCTGGGCTCTCCAACGCCAAGACCGCAGCAACGGGCATGGGGGTCTCCTTGCTTCTACCAGGTTGGTAGCCGTGCACATCTGGAGCCATGATGGATCTGTTCATGATGGGCGAATGCCAGACCACGCCGAACGACGGCAACATATGCGCCCATCTCTTACCGGCAAGGCACTCCACTCCCGACTTCTTAAAACCACCCACCTGACTACAGCGCCCAACTCTCGGCGCGTGCAACGACGATCTGATTCTCCACGGTCATGGATGCATCTCGCGCGTGGAAAAAAGTGAGCCTCGCTGGGCTCGGGCCCCCCGCCCCTCCAACTTGCTTCTTCGCGGTGGTTCCCGGCCCGGGGCTCAAGGCCATGTCCCGCAGCTCGATGGGGGCAAACCGCTTAGGTGTGACTCTACGCTTGTTCGTCCTGCGCGACTTCCTACAAGCACGCTTTAAATCCTCTTGTGCTTCCCCAGAATTGCGTCAGCAATGTGGCGTGTTATGGCCCTGCAACTCAGGCAAGCCCCCCCGCTCCTCCAGCTCAATCGCCCCCGTCTCACCCCGAGGCCCAGGCCCCGCCCAGAACGCCGCCTGCTCTTCTCTCGTTGGCTGGAGAGTGCGAACCTCCAGCAATGTCCTGTTCTTGGGGCCGATCCGCGCTCCCGCCGCCGTCCGAGCGCGCAGAGAGCGTTGCGGAGGTCTCTGGATCCCCAGGAATCTCTTAGACACCAAGGTGCTCCCCTCTGCGCTGCTCGAAGGCCTCCAGGGTCATGTTCCATAGAATTTTGGCGACAAGCACGGGAGCGCGCAAGGTCATGCAATGCCTGCTCAAGGAAACGAAACACGCGATCAAGGGAGTCTTGCGATGCCGAACGCATCCGCTCCTCCCGCTGCACCTCCATCTTCCCGTCCATCCCGTCCAAAAAGTCCCTCAATCCCACCCGTCCCCTCAAAGCCGCCATCGTCGCATCGGGGTGCAATCTCTGATTGCCCAGATGCGGTGGCTGCTGGCTGGTCTGCTGCTCATGGCGTGCAAACGAAGGGCGGGTCACTTTTAAAAACAACAAGCACATGATCTCTAGTGCCTGCAACGCTGATGAGCTGGAGCCTGCGCCCCTTGCCCATGAGTGCGCCTGTCACTCGCATTGTCCACCCATAGACGGCAGCACGCACACATAATCCACAACATAATCCGGCGTATCACTGAAGTGGGGAGGTCACACATCGCAGACACCGCTGGCATGAAATGATTATGCAATACTTCTCGAAACGCAGCTCCGGCAAAATGCTCGCGACCAGTCCCAAGGAACAAGCAACACCCTCGTCCACAACCTTCGTATGGGCCCCCACACAGTTTCCTCCCGCCCCCTTTTGGCGGTGCTGTGCGCGCTGATTCTCCGTATCATCGTTGGGCTTCAAAGCGGGTCCATGATTCACTTCGCACGTCGCAGCTGTGACAGACCTGGACGGGCAAACTGCAATCTCACGATATTGCCACTGCGTCATGGCCTGCGCCGTCCTCTGGTAGGCCACCTGCTTCTTCGATTCTGTCATCTTGGGCGGAAGACGATGTGCCAAGATCGCGAAATCCTCCGTCAACGTTCGTACGCGTACTACCATGCGCCGTCCAGCCAAGCCTTTTACACTCCGAGCCGCACGAACATGTTCATCTCGAAAACGTTGAACAGCACGGGCACCCCGAAAGCCTTATTGGAATTAGGCTCACGCGTCCACCCTGCTTCAATCAAAACACGGCCATGCACGCGTCGACGCTGAACGTCCGGCTCCTTGGCCTTCACATACATGGGTGCCCGTGGTCGCCACCACTTCCACATCTGCGAAGGCATGCACATGTCATCGATACGATCTGCACGCGTACACGCCAAAGGATTGTACACAAGCTTCCATGAAAATCCAGCGGCACTCTGATGGGTACGCCAGAGAGGCATCAGCGCAAGGAGGAAACAACAGAGGCGGCGGATCATGGTACCTGTCTTATCTCCCAGTGACACCCGATGGCCGACGGTTCGGTAAGGGGAACCTGGCGATCATGTGCTCAAAACCGCCCCGTTGCTGAAGCCAGGACGGCGGCTGGGAGGAGGGGGGGAGGAAGAGGAGGAGGAGGAAGAGGAGGAAGAAGAGGAAGAAGACGAGGAGCAGAGGCTCAGGGGTGCATTAGCTCCGTTAGTGCGCCCAGCCTCCCGGTGTCACCATCTCTGAGAGCACGGAGGACGCGAGAGCCCGTCGTGGTTGGCGCTCGAATTCAAGGCAATCCTTGGGCAACGCGGGGGCGAGCACGGGTGGCTTTCAAGTAACGCCGCGGCTCAATCCACGTACCACAGTGTGACAGCGTGGCTTGCACCTAGGTAGACGAACAACGCACGCACAGAAAGCCATAAGTGAGAAGAATGGGGAAGGGCAAGGCGATGAAACCGCTATAGGTATGGGTGCGAATTGTCGGACCTCGAAGGGGAATCTCGTTCGAGCGGGAATCCCCTATCCGACAACATATGCCCACAGCCCCCCTTCGAATTCTACCCCGAGAGATCCTGGGGTCGCTTGGGTATGGGTGCTAGTTGTCAACTCATGGAACGTAGTGCCCACTGGGGCAACGTTGCAACTGAGGGCTGAACTTGTAGCCCCCGGTGGGGCGCGAGCCAGACAGTGCCGCCATACCGTGGCCCTGGCATACTTCATCGACCAGGCCAATAGTATTGCGGTCGACGCCAGCAAAGCATGGACATGCACCTCTACATGCGTAGTTTGGGCTGCACTGCAGACGCTGAGTTTGGCGGGTGCGACCCCGTCGCGCAACGTCTGCAACGTGCGTTCCCAAGGGGGACGCGCAATATCCATGACGCTTCGAGTCTAACCTGCCCCCTGGAAATTTCACGGTCGAAGCCAGAACGCGCATCACTCGAATCTGGAGTCCAGAGTCGCATGCATGGCCTTGCGAAGAAGGCGAGCAGGAATGATAGGGATCACGCTCAGCCACTCTTACCCAGGAGCTGGAACCTGGAATAGAGGCATATGGAACACATCTTGAAGTCGAAGCCCGGAGAGGACATCAGTCCTGGAATCTCAATGATAAGCCTTCATGCTCATCATTCTCACCTTTGCAGTCGTGCCCATTACCATCCTCATTCCAACCATTACTCGTACCATCACCCGCACCCGATCCCCCGTACATGGTTTGTCGTCACCCTCACCCTGAATGATCACACGCGCGCTCACTCGCAATATCTCGTACGTGCCTCTCAGCAAACTCCCGAGAGACCCACCCGTCCTCTCGCGACCTCCTGAAATCCTCACATCATGTTCGTACAGGCCCCATCGAGGCCTCTTTTCCAAACGCGCCTGCATGCCTCTGAAATTCCCCCCAAGAGCCTCCAGAGGCTCCTGCAGGCCTGTCAAGGCCTGTCTGGGCTCACCGAAGCTCCCGCAGGCCTCTCACGGTGTTTGTAAAGTTTCCCAGAGCTCCCGCCAAGCGTCTTTCAGCCTGCCAGAGCTTCCCCCTGGCTCTCCAAACATGCCAGGCCCCCCAAGAGCTTCCATCAAACTCACAAAGGTCTTTGACACACATCTTGCCGACTTCCCCCCCCTACCATCAAGGCCCTTCTCCGCCACCGTGTCTGCACGATGTGGGCGTGGTGTTGAAATGCTAAGTGCTGCTCCGCTGGGTGATCGCCTTCTAATAAGGCCTGGTGCATGCATCGCCCCCCCCCCCCCCACCTGGGGCCGCCACGATTTCTGGTTTCAATGCGATAGGTCCGCGCTCACGAGGCTACGACCCCCGGTTTACATCCCGAGCTTCCAGGACTGCCCACGCAAGCAACCAAGGACACCAAGATGGCCCAATCTGTATCGAAAACAAGCCAAGATGCCCACAAGGGGGCCGATTATGGCCTCAAGGCGGCCCAAGATGCCTCCACGAGGGCCCGAAAGGGCCACACGAGGACTTCGTACAGGGCCCGAAGAAACAACACCAATGATTTCCTTGTTGGTCTTCTTCACTGATTTTCGCATTCTCGCCTTTTCGGGTTTCCGTCAGCTCAAGACGGCCCAATAAAGTGTCCACGATGTCTTTAAAAGGGCCTGAGAGGCCTCCACGATGGTCAAAAAATCGCCCAAGAGGCCCACGAAGCCCGAGAGGCATCCAAGACGGCCCTCAGGTGGCCCATGAGGGCATCCTGTGTGACCCAAGACGGCCTTAGAAGGCCCTCCGACTGCGAAGACGGCGCTCAGACGGCCCCACGACGGCCCCCCGACGGCCCCAAAGGGATCCCCAAGACGGCCAAGAAAGCCCCACGATGGCCCAACCGAGTTCAATGAGAGCCTCTCAGATAGTGAAGACATAAAGGTGGCACAATTGACGGCCTTCCTCTTCCTCTTCCTCCTCCTCCGCATCCTTGTCGTCGTCACCATCATCATCACATCACTACCATCATGTCTCTCCCAAGCCTGGCGACACGAAGTGGCACATGTGACGGTCTCCCATGCCCCATCGAACAGTCGCCATCCACAATGTTGGGCTGGCACGATAGTGGGACTTGCCGCAGACAGCTGGATCCAATAACAAATACTTCGATCTTACGTGGGACGCATACCGAAGTACTGGTACTACGTGCCTATGTTGGCGACGCACGCCCGATCCACACATGTATTACAAAACCTTGTTCTATACAGTTTCCTGGGCGGTATGTCTAGAAAGCGCCCGACACAATGCCCATACTGTAAGATTTTTGATCGTGCCTTGCCCTTGCTTGCGAAACGCACATGTAGTTCTCCAATCAGTGCTTGCACCGACGGGGTCCGAGCAGATGTTGGCAGATTTGGCGACAGACAATTCCTGGCCGATTTCGGTGGGCGGCCATGTTCCTGGGTTCCCTATCACAAATTCCCCGGTTCCCGGTTGCTGGTTCGGGCCGATTTCGATGGGCGGCGGGGTTTTCGGGTTTCCATTACTCAGCTCTCTATCGATCTCACTAGCGATCTCACAACCGATCGCACTACCGATCTCACAATTGATCTCACCATCGACCATAGAGCGCACGATCGATCCCACGAGCGATCGATTTCACTATCGGTTTCACGATGTGCCTTACTATTGTCCTCACCATCGATCCCATTATCGATCTCACTATCGATCTCAGTATCCATATCACTTTTTTCAAGCCAACCACTGATTGGGTTTATTCTAAGGTGCAATATAGATGTAGTCAGGTTGAGCCGAGTCTGTTCACCGTTCTTCAAAATGATGTCCAAACGCATCTTGGATTAAGTACTGTCGTCGAATATAGATGTCTGTGCGCAAAAAGAAATGGAGGTCCATCTTATATCAAACAACTAAGTGCCTGAATCGTGTTTCCGGCCCACATTGATGTTTCAGCACGACGGGGAAGAACAAATGGAGGATCAGAACGAGGAGGAATCATATAACTTGCGCGCCTGACATGATTACGAACGAAAGTGAATACGATGGCCACTAGCAAGTGTCGTTCAAAACCAGCCGCAGTTGGGTGGGCGACTTTCTGCCTCAGATGCACAACGCCCGCGGCGGCACCGACAGCGAGCCCTGTTCAAAACGGGCAGGGGGCTGTCAACTTCTCGTCCCCACTCTTTCCGCCCCCGTCCCCAGACATCCGGCGCCACGCTTGCTTCGCGACACGGGCCCCCGACCTCTCGGCCTCGGCCGGGATTTTTTCGTCCCGGATTGCTTTTTGACGGTCATGGGTCCAGAACCGGCCACCGGAGGCCGAAAGCAGCAGCGAAAAACCGGCGGCCTCGACTTTTGACAGCTAGGCTTCCTGGTCGTAGCTCAAGTCTCTCCGGCGTCCGCTTGGGACGATCCGGGCGCCCCTGGAACGCCCTCGGCGAGATGCGGCTGCTGGAGGGCATTCCGAGGCTGTCAAACCTCAGCGAGCTGACAAAACCTGGCGAAAACCTTCCGTCTCGGTTTTTATCAAAACGCCGGATGTCTGGGTTTCGACCGTGCCGAGAGCAGGCCAGGGCCAGGGAAGCGGCGGCGCGCTGCTGGCCCTTGGCGCCGAGGCCCCCGCCCGCCAGGGCGCCGTACTGCACCCGGGGGCCCGCCAGCTCGGCGAGCGAGCTGCCGCCGGCCTCGTGCCCGAAGAAGGCGGCCTCGAGCAGTGGAACAGCAGGGGCGGCAGATGATGGTGATGATGGTGGTCATCATGGCGATAAGGTGATAATCATGATGCTGATGCTGATGCTCATGATGATGATGATGACGATGACGATGATGATGATGACGATGATGATGACAATGATGAGGATGACGACGACGATGGCGAAGATGCTGATGATAACGATGATGGTGACGATGACGATGATGGTGGTGCTGCTGATGATGATCGTGATGATGGCAATGATGATGACGATGACGAATCTAATGATGACGATGATGATGACGATGATGATGACGACGGTGACGATGATGATGGCGACGATGATGACGACGGTGATGGCGATGATGACGGTAACGATGACGATGACGATACTGATGATGCTCAATATGATGAGGATGATGGTGATGCTGATGATGCTGATGATGATGACGATGACGATGCTGATGCTGATGAGGATACTGATGAGGATGATGATGACTATGGCGATGACAAGGATGAAGGTACTGATACCGATGACGGCGATGCTGATGATCATGCTGATGGTGATGATGCTGATGACGATGATGATGACGACGATGCTGATGCTGATGATGATGCTGCTGACGATGATGACGATGATGCTTATGATGATGATGATGAGGATGAATATGAGGATGATGATGATAATGATGATGATGATGATGATGATGATGATGACGACGAATATTATCATAATGATGATGATGACGATGATGATGATGATGATGATGGTGATGATGATGATGATGATGATGATGGTGAATCATATGATGATGATGATGATGATGATGATGATGACGATGACGATGATGATGATGATGATGATGATGATGATGATGATGATGATGCTGATGATGATGATAATGATGATGATGGTAATGATGATGCTGCTGATGATGATGCCAATGACCATGACGATGATGACTGTGATGGCGATTGCGATGGTGATGCTGTTGATGATGGAGGTTTCTGGTGCTGTGCTGCTGCGCGTCAGCCTGACGCAAAAGCGGGCGGCCTGGCCAAGGGTCTCGTGGAGCCTGCCTCCAGGACCCGTGCCCGAGCAGGGGCGGCCGCGGGCAGCGGCTGCAGACGCCCGCGCCCTCGGCAAGCTGCGGGCGGGACGGGCATGAGCTCGGGCAAACGCTTTTTACGTCAGCGGCAAGGCAGAAGTGCTGCTCCAGCGGGCGGCCATCGGGGCGACCGATGCGCGAATTGGCCGGCGTGCAGGAGAAGGGAAAGGGGGGACAGGGCGGCCGCGGAGGACAGGAGGACGAGGAGGAGGGAACTCAGACGTGGAAGAAGAATTCCATGGGGCTCGGGCAAGCGCCACGCTGGAGTTCCCGGGACGGGGCCCGGAGACCGAACCTCAAGGAATCCAGTCTTCGGATGTTCCCCAGACCCCGCGCGTTGTGACAAAAATCGCGACGAGAGGTTTTTCGCTGTCTTCGGCCTCTGGGAGCCCTTACAGGGCCTCGGGGCCGCCGAAAAACGGCTCGGGATGAAAAACCAGTCCCCGGGAAGGGGTCCAGACCTCATGGGGTCGACGTTGTGGAGAAGTCACGACCTTCCGAGGGCCTTCCAGAACCTTCCGAGAGCCTCAGGGGTGGACCTCTGGCGGAAGGGGGCGAGGGGAGGAGGGGACAACACGACGCTCCACATAAAAAGCTGCATCCGATTGGCTTCTTCCCCCGCGAGGGGCGTTACAGGGTAGGTCAGTATCCAGGTGCGGTCAAGAACTGTTTGTTTTTGGCGCAGCTCTGGAGAAGGGGGAGACAACCGAGGGGAATACGACTGCGAAGCATCAGATGAGACCTTCTGTCCTCAACGTTGGGTTCCGGTCGACTCCACGGAAGAACCATCAGCAAACCTGACAAGCAGTGCGACACCTGCAGCGCTGAGCCATGCAGCAGCACCACCGCTGAGCCATGCAAGCGGCGCGTCGCGGCGGATCCGTCGACACGCCACGCCCTGCCAGCGTTATGTCGGGCCTGTCCCCCCACAGGGGAATTTTCGACGAAAAAAATACCCCCAGAAACAATAAAAAGAATAGTCCAAAAATAGTCTGGGGACTATCTTTTGAATATTATCTGACCCTTTTCGGGGTACTTTTCTTTTCCCGTCGAAAATCCCCCTGTAGGGGGACAGGCCCGACTTGATGCCAGCGGAAGGCGCGCTTCGCGGGGCGGGGCGCCGGGAGAGACGCTCGGGACGCCGCATCTCGGGGACCGCGGTGTGGTTGGCGTTTCGCGCCGCAGCGTGGTGGGCCAGCGCCGGCGGCGCGGCCCGCTAAGCAGAAGTTCTCGATCGTACAGTTGGGGCCCTGAAGAAAGAACCCTTTTGGTTGGGGAGGGGCTCCGTGTTCCTTAATTGTTTCGCAGCTTGCCTCAGGGTTTCCTTGTGTTTTCGATGGGGAATCGAAGTTTAACTTATGGAAAAAAGGGGCCTCGTTCCTTATTTAGGGTTCCTTATGTCAACGCCCCGACGGTACATCGAGGAGCTCTGAGAGTTGGCGGGCCCGCAGAACGTGTCGGGCGCCGCTGCCGTTCCAGGACGTGCTGCGAGCGTCTCGGACCGATTTGGAGCGACTCATCTCCTCATCCTATGCCCGCTTCCCTCAGGCCCCAACACCCAGAGACCCCATCCACCAGCCGACGAAGCGAAATCGTAAAACAGCATGGCCATCGCATAGGGAGGCATGTCCGGCGCGGCTGGGAACTTTCTGGGCGCGTGCATCGCCATGGGCACGTCACGACGTCAGTCGAGCCAGGGCGGGCTTTCCCCTGCAGCGGAATTCTTGCATTTTCTGGTGTCATTCGTCCGCTGACTCCTGGCTGAGAGGATCCGGTAACGGCATACGCATGAACCTTCAGTGGTCTGCTGCGCGGATTTCTTGGATTTTCGCTGGAGCCCCCTGGCGGCGCTTCCAGCGTCGCCCCCGGTGCGCTCCGCGCGCCAGGGAGGGGGGTCCCCGCGCCGATCCCAGAAATCCGCCTGAGCCCCCGAAAGGTTATGTTTGTGCTGTTCTTCTTCTCCAATGGCGGGACCTGGTGGGACTGGGGGTGCATGTGTCCATGCCCACACGGCAGTGGAAGCCATCACCGATCCAAGCGCCATCGACCCTGGGCCCCCTCATGTGGGGCCCGCTGGGCCAGGCTGGAGGAGGGGGCATTGCACGGAGGACGAGATCATGCTGATGCTGGTGATGATGATGCTGCTGCTGAGGCCGATGACGACGACCATGATGATGAACCTGATGCTGATGCTGATGCTGCTGCTGATGATGGTGATGGTGGAGGGATGGTGATGATAATAATGATGATGATGACGGCGATGAAAACGATGATGACAATGGTGATGATGACGCTGCTGCTGATGATGATGCCAATGTCGGTACCGATGCCAATGACGACGACGATGATGATGATGATGGTGATGATGATGATGATGGTGGTCATGATAATGATGACACTGACGACGATGGCGATGCTGCTGATGATGATGATGCTGATGATGATGATGATGATGCTGGCGGTGATGAAGGTGCTGATTATAACGATGCTGATACTGCTGATGATGATGAAACTGAGGATCATGATGGTGATGCTGATTAAGCCCGTGGCGATGACAGCGGTGAGACGATGATGACCAATACATGTGATGTCGATCCATATGAACATTACAATTTCAGCTATTAGGACAATGCCGATGCCGATTCCGATGATAATGCTGATGATGATGAGGATGAATCTGAAGATGATGATGCTGCTGCTGGTGATGATGGGTATGATAATGATAGTGCTGCTGCTGCTGCTAATTCTGATGATGCTGATGATGCGGCTGATGACGATGCTGATGCTGATGATGATGCTGCTGATGATGATGCTGCTGATGATGATGGCGCTGACGATGACGATCATGATGCTGCTGTTGACGATGATGATAATGGTGATGATACTGATGACGACGATGATGATGGTGATGATGATGACGATGCTGATGATGCTGCTGATGCTGATGCTGTTGATGATGATCTTGCTGATGATGATGTTGATGATGCTGATGATGATGATGATGATGATGATGATGATGATGATGATGATGATGATGATGACAAGGATAAGGATGGTGACGATGATGAGGAGGAGGAGGAGGAGGAAGAAGATGGTGGGGATGACGAGGATAACCAGCCTCGACGTAGGGATTGTCCCTCGAGTTACCCTCGGCGACTATCTGAAGCTCCTTGCGGCCCTGCGGCCTGAGCACGACCCGCCCGAAGAGCGGGCTGCCGAGGGCGTAGCTCGGACTCCCGGGCTCCAGCAGGTAGAGGCCCAGCGCTGACAGGACGAACCTCGAGGGCGGCCGCTCCTGCTACTGCTGTTGCTGCTGCTGCTCCCCCTCCTCTCTCCTGCTGCTGCTGCTGCTGCTGCTCCTCCTCCTCCTCCTCCTCCTCCTCCTCCTCCTCCTCCACATCCTGTCTCGCATCTTGGAGCAGCTCGGATCCGTCTCCGAGCCGTTCCAGGTGACGCACTCGGGGAAACAGGGGCTCAGGAACGGCACGAGGCCCGCCAAGTGCCCCACAGTCCTCGTATGCCGCCGACCCTGCGAGAAGCACGGCACCCTCACGGAACGGATCTGGACTTACGACCGCTCGCAGCGGGTGGCAGGTTCCAGACGGCATGTACGAACAACCCTGGTCCGCGGGATAGTCTCCACAACGGCGGAGTTCAAGAGGCTCCACCCCGGCACCGCCGAGAAGAATGCCACCACGTGCTCGCAGCACGGCGGCGAGGTGGCCGTCTGGGCGTGGACTCGAGTGGCGGGCAACGGCACGAGCGAACCACGGTCAGGCAGTGGGGCCTCAAGTCAGGCAGGGTGCACGCCAGACAACGGTGCTTCGCTCAGGCCGCTTGTCGGCGGCGAACGTCCGCCAAACCTCAGGGAGCAAGCCCACAAGCTGCAGCAGTGTACGGGCATCGCGTGCACGGTCGATTCTGGTCGGTGATGCTGGCACAGCGTCGTCGATTAGGGGCGGTAGCTGGATCGTCGAAGCGAGGGCGATGTCTCACTACGTTAGCTTCTCTTCGACTATCCGGGTGAGCTACAGGTCCCCTTCTTCCTCAGCAGTGCGTTTCACAATTGCTTTCGGTTTGGTTGCCGAAGGTTCGGCTACGACGGCCGATCAAGAACGCATGGACATCGGCAGTGGCACATCTTAGCAATATGCCAGAGGGACTGCGAGCTCCCCATGTACGCGAGCCCATGACGACAGTGATCTTGTACATGCTCGGAGATGGTTGGGCTCCGAACTCTCCCACGGACTGCTCCTCGGACATCAATGTATCGCAATTCGATGGCAGCGACTTCCAGGCGTTGGATCAGGCTAGTTGCCCTCGCTTGGGTGCGCTTGAGACGACATTCGAGCTCAACCAATGGAAAGGTGCATCTAGCCTTTTCTATAATCTCTATTTGTTTGTTAAAAATTGCAACAGTGGGAAACTACATGTTTGTCGGGTGGCCTGATTGACGGACTGAGGCCCCGACAACAATGGAAACTATGTTTTCCCGCCGCCGCCGCTGACGACAACGCCGACGACGACGAGGAAGGGGAGGAGGAGGGGGGGGGGAGAAGGAGGAGGAGAAGGATGATGCTCTGAGGCTCTCAAAGGCTGAATGCTCTGAAACTCATTGCTCTGAAACTCTCACGGCTCTGAAACTCATCGTTCTGAAGCTCATTGCTCTGAAACTCATTACTCTGAAAATCGTTGCTCGGGAACTTTCTCAAAGGCTCATTGCTCTGGAACTCCCAAAGGCTCATCGCTCTGAAGCTCATTGCTCTGAAACTCTCACTGTTCGGAAACTCATAGCTCTGAAGCCCATTGCCCTGAAACCCATTGATCTGAAACTCATTGCTCTGAAGCTCATTAGTCTGAAACCCATTGATCGAAAACTTTCTCAGAGGCTCGTTGCTGTGAGCCTCTCACCCTGAAAGCTCAAGGGCTCACAACACTCTCGCGAATCACATGCCAAAGAGCTCGGTTAATTCCTTCTCCTCTTTCTCCTCCTCCTCCTCCTTCTCCGATACTTCAGTTCTTATTGCAAACCTTCGTACGAACAAGCTCGACATTCCTGTCGCGTGGAGGTAGCCCCGGAGGCATTGTCCGATGGGCGGGATGACCGCCCACCAGTATCCAGCGCGGCGCGCATCAGTGGGAAACCGAATCATCTACCTCCTCCTCCTCCTCCTCCTCCTCCTCCTCCTACCCCTCCCCCCCTCCTCCTCCTCCTCCTCCTCCTCCTCCTCCTCCTCCTCCTCCTCCTCCTCCTCCTCCTCCTTAGCTCCTCCTCCTCCTACTCCTCCACCTTCTCCTTCCCCTCCCGCTCGTCCTCCGATGCATCGGTCCTCATTGCCAACCTTCCTACGAACAAGCTCGAAATCCCATTCGCGTGGAGGGTAGCCCAGGAGGCCTTGTCCTATGAGAGAAACAACCGTCCACCATGATTCAGCACGGCGCGCAATAGTGGGAAACTAATTCCTCGTCCTCTTCATCCTCCTCACCCTCCTCCTCCCCCCTCTCCTCCTCCTTCCCCTCCTCCTCCTCCTCCTCCGATGCATCGATTCTTCTTGCAAGCCTTCCTACGAACAAGCTCGGAATTCCTTTCGCGTGGAAGGTCGCCCAAGAGGCATTGTCCGATGGGAGAAACAACCGTCCACCATTATTCAGCACGCCGCGCATTAGCGGGAAACTAATTCCTCCTCCTCCTCCTTCTCCTCCTCCTGCCCCCTTGCTTCTCTTCCTCTTCCACCTCAACCTCCTCCTCCTCCTCCTCCTCCTCCTCCCTCTTCTCCTCCTCCTCTCCTCCTCCTCCTCCTCCTCCTCCTCCCTCCTCCTTCTCCTCCGCCTCGTCCTTCTCCTCTTCATCCTCCCCCTTCTCCTCCTCCTCCTCCCTCCTGCTTCTCCTCTCCTCCTCCTCCTCCCCCTTGCTTCTCTTCCTCTTCCACCTCAACCCCTCCTCCTTCTCCTCCTCCTCCTCCTCCTCCTCCTCCTCCTCCTCCTCCTCTTCTCCTCCTTCTCCTCCGCCTCGTCCTTCTCCTCTTCATCCTCCTCTCCTTCTCCTCCTCCTCCTCCTCCTCCTCTCCCCTCCTCCTCCTCCTCCTCCTCCCTGCTCCTGCTCCTGCTCCTGCTCCTGCTCCTGCTCCTGCTCCTCCTCCTCCTCCTCCTCCTCCTCCTCCTCCTCCTCTCAGCTAAGGTAACGGGGTTGTCATTAAGTTAGGCCTCGCCAATGCTTGCAAGACAGCTTCTTGACCTTAACAAGAGGAGAAGCAGGAGGAGGAGGAGGAGGAGGAGGAGGAGGAGGAGGGAAGGAGGAGGGAGGGAGGAGAGAGGGAAGGTTTATTCACCGCCGAGAGCTCCAGGGGGGGGGGTCAAAACTACAGACTTCTAGAGGTTAGTGCTGGGCTCGCGTTCGGCGCAGACATGTTGTCCCTCAGAAATATGGTGTCGGATCTGACGCGAGTTCGCAACACATGCCACTCCTCCTCCTCCTCCTCCTCCTCCTCCTCCTCCTCCTCTTCATGTGCCTGTTCCTTTCCCTTCTTCGTCCCTCCTCCCCCTCCCCCCTTTCCCTGCTCCTCTTCCTCCTCTCGCTCCTCTCCCGATTCCTCCTCCATCCTCCTCCTCTTGGGGCACGATGTTTTACCCAGCCCTTTATTCCACTGCATTCTCCGCCGCATCCCTGATCGGGGCAACTCGTCTGGGCATCGTTTCTGGATGGGTTGGGCGGCTTACGCGAAGCGTCTAGACTATTAGGATTGCCTGAATTCGTAGCGGCTTCTGTCTTTGGAAAGACTGCTCCCGCTGCAGCGTGGGCCTCGATTTAGGATCGGCGCTGTGCTCCCGTCGTTGAGATTGGCGGTCCCGCCCAAACGCGGCCCACTGTTCTGGATCCGAGTCCTTCCTCGCCGTTGTCGCCCGCTCTTTTCCACTCCTCCGCCTTCCCCAGGTCCTCCTGCTCCTACCGCTCCTCCTGCTCCTGCTCTAGCTGCTGCTGTTTCTCCTCCTCCTTCTTCCTCCTCTTCCTGCCCATCCTCCTGCTCATCCGCCACCTCCTCCTCCCCCTCCAAATGTATAGCTCCCATCATTTCCCGATTGCGCGCAACACGATCATGTCCTTCTGACTGCTCCAGGTCCGCTGTGATACCCGTCGGCGCATGACCGAGTAGAGGAGCAATTCAGCGCAATGGGCAGGGACGGGTGGGAGGGATACGATGTCAGATCTGGTGCCAGCGCAGTTAACTCGTTCTCCCCCCTCTCTCATCTCCTCTGCTCTGCTCTGCTCTCATATCATCTCATCCCATCTCATCCCATCTCGTCTCATCTCATCGCATTTCTCCTCCTCCTCCTCCACTACTACACTTGTTGAAGATTATTTTCCTCTCCCCTGGCTCTGTCCGGAAGATGTCTCACCCTCTCCGCGTACTGCTTTTACACACAAGATTGGACAGACGTGTGTTTTACAATGCTGTTTTTGAACTCCGAATGCTTTCGGTGGTTCAAAATGCTGCTCCTGCTGCAGCGTGGGAATCATGTTAGGATCGGCGCTTTGCTCCCGTCGTGCAGAATGGCGCTCTCGCCCCAGCGCGGGCTATTTTTCTGGATCCGAATCCTTCCTCATCGTTGTCGCCCCCCGCTCCTTGCACTCCAGTTCCCGCTGCTGTTCGTCCTCGTCGTCCTCCTCCTCCTGCCTCCTCCTCCTCCTTTTCCTCCTGCTCGGCTCCCCCTTTCCGATCTCGCATGACATGATAGGGGTCTTTTTGGGAGTTCCAGGTTCGCCATGACACGCCCCCGCGGAGGGAGAAGCAAGCAGCGCAATGGCACGGGACGGGTGGGATGGGTTACGCCTGCCTGCACGGCGGCCGAAGTTGACTCGGACTCCTCCTCCTCCCGACGGCACGCCGCGCCCTCTGAGGTCTGCGCCGTCGCCCGCGCGGCAACGCACCCTCGGCGTGTGCGTGGGCCAAAAAAAAGTCCCGGCCTCGTTCTGAGGCTGCGCCCCCCTTCTCCTCCCCCTTCTCTGCGTAACTCAAGCTTCGCGCGGCCCGCTCAGCTTCGACCGGAAGAGGTGCGCTCTCGACCCGCGAATCAAAAAGTGTGCGCGGGCCAAAGCAGCAGCCACGACAGCCCTCAGCAGAATACTGACTCAACGAGGAAGCGGGCGATGCGGTCAGGAACGTTGGCGTGTCGCTGCGGCGGCCGCGGCGACACGTTCTGCCCTGCGAGCTGATAGCGTGTCGCTCCCCTCCGCGGGGCGGGAGGATGGGAAAGGCTCCGGACGCTGACGCTTGGGAATTGGGATGTGGTTAGCGTGCTGCGCCGAAGCGTGGTGGGCCAGAACCCCCTGCGCGTCACGCTAAACAAACGTTCCTGACCGTCTGTCAGTCGACCGTGGAGGAACCATGCGCCCATCTCGCCATTGTCCTCGTCGCCGCTGTACATTGCGGAGCCTGGTTTATAGAGCTCCAGCAGGGTCTTGCGGATCCAGCGCTGCCCTCGGCTCGCACACCTTCGCACGGTGGCAGTACGAAGTCACTTCGCTTGCCAAAGCTTAACACAACGCTCCCCGAACGATTCCGATTTCCAGAGTCGCTCCAGGAACACATACGATGAGACATGTTGATATAGCGAATCTTCAAGGCCCTAAGGTGGCCCATAACTTCTGTGGGTCCCTTGGGTCCATCGGGGGACAACACATATCCGTGGGCCACATGCTGGTAGGACGATTTCTTATTCGATGTGGCTACAATATCGATGCACACGCAGAGATGCAACCGACACTGGTGCTACACCTTCCGTTCAAGCTGCCCTCCGCGGCGGCGAACATGTAGGGCACGTGGTGTACGGGCTGGTTGTTGAACCCCTCAGTTCACAAATATCCAGTGAGGATGTACCAAGCATGACCAGCGCTCCTAGGGCACCCTTGAAGTCAACCGAAGTTTAGCAGCAGCATGGCAACATACAACTATATACTTTATTTTTGGGATAGACATATGTGTATACAACCTATATATATATATATATATATATATATATATATATATCATATACTGTTTCAATGACAGTCGCCATGCTCTTCCAGAATTGTGACTGTGCAGCTCTAAAGGTTTATTTGGGCCGTTTTGAAACCGTTTTGGGGGTCTCTTTGGGCTGTCTTGGGGCTGTCTGAAGGCCATCATAGATTACCTTGGGGCCGTTTTGGGCGGTCTGGCGCTCCTCCAGGGTCTCCAGAGGCCCTCTTGGGCTGCCTTCGGCCCCTCTCGGGCCGTCTGGAGACCCTCTTGGGGCCCTCGTGACACTTTTTCGACCATCTTGGGGTGACATTGTGGTGGCCTCTCGTGACCTCTCAGGCCATCGTGGAGGCTCTGGACGGCGAGTGCACCAGAACCGCACGAAAACCTAAAGACAATCACGGTGTCTTGCCTCTTGGCAGCATCTTGGGACTCCTCTCATGGCTCCATTGGGAGCCTATTTGAGTACAGCCTGATCATTTTCCGAATGACCCCAGGTGGCCAAGGACAGGGGCTCACCACAACCATCCTACCCCCTTATGCCCTTATTCCCTCCTCTATCTGCTGTCCTCCTCCTCCTTCTTATGCTGCTGCTCCTGACTTCCTGGTGTTGCTCGTCCCTTCTGCTTTTCCCCGCGCACTTCCAGGATCAATCATCACTACCTCGGGAAGTCGAATCGAGCCAAATTGTGCGTCGGCTCGGGCTGCATCGGCAAGGAGGCAAAATCCGCCGACCCCTTGTGGGTCTCTAGGCGTGTGAGATTGTTCCCCCCCAGAACCCCTCCCAAGGACCTCAAACCGGAGATTTGACCCCACCCTCCCGGCCCCGGACGAACCCCCTCCAAACCCCGGACGAACTCGCCATGGGATCATAGAGGGCCCCAAAACGGGCCAAGAGGGCCCCGAATCGTCGAATGATCGTTCCAAGACGCCCAAGATGGCATCCAGACAGCCCAAGGTGCCTTCAAAACGCCCCAAGAGGCCTCGAAGAGGCCTCCCAAAAGGCACCGAAGAAGTGAAATGCCCCCCATTCCTTTAGGAAAACGTGCGTTTTAAACATATTCGCCTCTTGCGCTTTCATACCGTGCAAGACGGCCCAAAAGACACCTAGGACAGCTCCAAGACGGCCCACAAAGGTCCCAAGACCGCCAAAGAAACCCCGACGACGGCCCCAGAGGACACCCGGACGGCGCCAAAAGGGGGCCCACGGGGGGAACCCGAACCCACATTTCCAGCCTTCGGCCCCAGGACGCCCCCAGGTTGCCTCAAGAAGCCCCCAACACGCCCCAAGAAGCCCCCAGTGAGCCCGAACAGAGCCCCCAAACGCCCCCAAGAACCTCCCAGGAATCGGACAAGCCTCGTGGAATGCAGTCCTTGACGCGCAGTAGTTTGTAGAGGGGTCGGCGGATGTGGCGTAAGCCTATAGAATCGGATCGGAGAGACTGCGCCAAGATGCACAACGGCGCCACTCAAGCATCGGGCCGCATCGGATCGTCGGAACATTGGAATCGAATCGAACTGGGCGGAACCGATATCGAACCGAACGGGTCGAATCGAATTAGACCCTGCCCTTGTCCTCCTTACAGTACCCTCCCCTTTCTCCATCTTCTGCTCCTAGTTCTCGCCCTCGCCGTCCTCTCTTGCTTTCCACCTCCTCCTCCTCACCTCGTTGTCGTCTTGCTACCCGCTCGCCTATACATCCGGACATCTAGATCATCCCTCCTCATCTGCCTCGTGTTCCATCTGTCCCCCCTCCCCCCATCCGCTCTGCTCTCCCTCACCTCGTTCTGCTCCCCGTTCCCCCTTCCGCTCCACTCCCCCACCCCTTCTGCTCCTGGTCCTCCTCCTCCTCCTCCTCCGCCCCCTTCTGAACATTGTCCAGGGACTCTTACTTTTACTCTCACTCCTCCTCCGCCCCTGCCTCCTTGATATCGTTCTTTCACCCATTGGGGGTACAGTCGGACTTGCTTGGATACGAAACCCGAGATGCCAAAGGACTCTTCCTACGGCAACGTGGCCCCAGAACACCAAAGGACACGCGGGCTGCATAGGTCGGAATAGACAAGACACAGAGATACCCTTGATTTGGCATGGTCGATCTACAGGGCAATTTTTTATACATCGGACTTTTTTTTACAATAAATAAGGAAACGGCACTGTACCAAGGAAGGCCGACTGCAGCTGGAGTTTCGGGGGGCGGGGTCGGTGAGGGCGGGGGGAGGTGACAGCAACGGCGGTCCGTGTGCACCCCCCACGGCGCGCCCGCAGATCACCGGCGCAAAAGCCGCCAATGCACACCACGGTCCCGGCGCGCACGACGACTCTTGCGTGCACCACGTCCCCCGTGTGCACCACAATCCCGAAGAGGCCCAAGCACGGGAAAATCGCGGTGGGCCCGAACGTACCAATTTCAAACTATGAATGGTATGTTATTCTTGGTTTTTCCGGCCCGGGATACGGCCCAACCGTTGTTTTGGGCACGCAGTGCCTGCATGTACCACAGCACCTGTACAAAATGATGCTTGCGCAGCCACAGCAGCCGCTTGTCTCACAACTCCAGGCGACTGCGACCACCACAATGCTTGTGTACACAACATAACTGGTGTACACCCCCAAATCTCGACAGGACCCAGAAAATCCAGAAACTAGTGGTAGACCCGGACCTACCACATTCAATGTGTGAGGTATCTGTTATTATCTATGTTTCTGGCCTGCAGCACGGTCGGCCCGAGATATGGGCTCGCAATGCCTTCGCGCGCCACAGCGCCGGTGCACAACACATTGCTCGCACCACCACAGCAGGCGCGCGCACCACAACCACTTACGGCTGCGCTCACCACAATGATTATGCATGCGTCTGTGCACATCACAAGGCCGGCATAAACCTCCAAAATCCCGAAGGGGAGCACCAACTCCGGAAAATCGCAGCAGGCCCAGAAACGTATCACATTCAATCCGCCACCGTGCCTTCGGCGCGTTGAGGCGCGGAAGGATGCCAAGGGCTGCCTGGCAGGATTGTTTGTAGTATTCTGATGGACACCTCCATCCTTCAGGTCACCCGCAGCCGACTGCACCACCCCTACTCCTGGGAGATCCCTGCGCGGCCATGCGCTTCCCTGGAACTCTCCAAGGCTTCCATAACGGCCCAGGAGGCCTCCAAGACGGTCCAAGAGGGCCCCGAGTCGCCAAACGATCACTCGAAGACGCCTGGCCCAAGTGGCCTCCAAGACGTCCCAAGAGGCCTCAACGAGGCCTTCCAAGAGGGTTCCAAGATGCAACCATACTTTGTTCCTTTGGTTTTTGGCAGGCTTTGGCGTTCTCGCCTTTTCGGCTTTCCGACGCCCCAAGACGGCCCAAGAGGCCCCCAATACCACCCCAAAACGGCCCAAGAGGCCTCCAAGAGGTCCCCAGGACAGCCTAAGAGCGCCTCAAGACAAGAGGCGCCCAAGACGGCCCAAGAGTGCCCCAAGACGGCCCCAAAAGGGGCTCAAGAGAGGGAACACGAACCGAACATTCGAGCCTTCCGTCCCAAGAGGCCCCCAGGAGGCCCCACGAGGCGCCCAAGAGGTCCCAAGAGGACCCCAAGAGGACCCCAAGAGGCCCAAAAGAGGCCCAAGAGGATCCACAACGGCTTCATCAAAACTGCATCCAAGAGGCCCCCGAGAGGCCGCCCACGAGATCCCAACGAATATCCAAGAGGTTTTACATCAACAACCAAGGCTCGGTGGCGGGACTTGCCGTAGGCAGCTGGATATGTACGTTAGTTGTGATAGTTGACTTTCTGGTCCGGGATAAAGTCCACCGCGATGCTTTCGTGCACCACAGCTCCGGTGTACAAGCCGATGCTTGCGCAAGCACAGTAGCCGTGTGCACCTCTTCCTCTTCCTCCTCCTCTTCCTCTTCTTCCACCCTATTCCTCGCATTCTAGTGGATGGTTCTGAGTAGTCCTGTTAGGGTATGAAGGCGTTGCATGGGGGTATGTACAAGGTCCTATGGGAGCTGCATGGATTCATGCCTGCGGCCGGCTCCCAGGCGTTATCTTCAAGGGGGTGGCGTCTGGGGATGGGGGGGTAACACGAGTTACCTCCCGAACCTATAGAAAACCAATCACCTTCTCCTCGTTCTTCGCCTCCTGCCCCTGCTCTCAGTGCCCATGCTTGTGTTGCCCTTGCGAGGCACTGGTACTGCACCTCATCCGCGCCTCCGTGTCCTTCTCCTGCATATTCTCTTGCCCCTCCAGCTCCAGCTGCTCCGCACCCCTCCGCTCCCTGCGTATTGCCTTCTGCCCGCTCCTGCTCCTGCTGGAGAC